TCATGATCGGCACAGTCGTGCATTTGGAACTCTACCGAACCCAATCATGTAACACACGCCTTTAACCCCCCCTCCTCTCTCCCTCTCCCACACCCCCCCCCCTTCGTTGCACTCAACCTTGGCAATTAGGCTTTTTGTGAACTAGAGCGAAATAGAATCGAGCCCATGCACAACGCCGTTGCTTTTTTGTCTCCGGGCCGTTAAAAAACAAGATCGAGTGACATGGGCCTGGTTGCTCCCCCCCTCCCCTCCCCGCCAAAAAAAAAAGGAAAAGAAATGTGGGTAATATGTGTGTGCGTGTGTGCAAGCATATGTGAGTTATGTGAATGTGTGTGTGTGTGTGGATGTGGATGTGGGCAGGCAAAGGGGGGCACGGGGCAAGAAAAAGACGCGTTTCTTTTCCTATTTGGGAATGCATGCTACACCCACTCCCATCCCAAAACCTCCATAAATGGGTTGCCTGAAGAAAAATGTAACTTGAAACTTATTCGGCCCGTTGGAGAGAGGTTCGGGTTGTTTAAGTAAAAAGTAGGTAGCGCGTGTTACATACATATGTACGCTATATGTAGGTATGTTATCCCCCCCCCTTTTTTTTTTTCTTTCTTCTCGTCATGTACGTATGCGCTATGTGCCTGGCTGCGAGTGATCAGGTAGTTCCGGAAGATGGTTGGGCGCTATCCTAACTGGTCTTGGGGAGGCGTTGAGATAAAAGAGGGTCTGGTTCACTGGTGGTTAATAGTTCACCCAGAAAATATTTTTTGGGGGTGCTTGGTGTGGTTTAGCAAGGACGACTAAAGGATATCAGACGATCGAAACTCTGACAAAGAAGCAATTAGTTGACACCCAGCGTGCTGGGCGATCTGACATGATTTTTTTTTTTCATTGTTTCGCCTGTGGGCACTACCGCCAACCGGAATGCTTGGGTATAAGCATGTACGGTGTATATTCGGCATTTGCCCAGCGTTGCGTTGCAGCGGCTGAATATGGGTGTAAGGGAAGCAACATGGGTGTGGGCGCAACGTCTTGGTTTCTACTATGTACGTACTAGTTGTCGTCTCGAGGTAAGATTGTCGGTGTGTTCGCATCCCACGATCCGAAGCGTTTTTTGTTCCGGACGGTTGCTCAACGTGACGCACGCCATACCCCTGGTCTGCCCATGATACTTATATCCTAGGCGGTAACATACTCTATTGACGGCAGGCTCCAAGACATAGCCAAAAGCAAAACCTACCAGGATCTAGCGTCCAAGGAAGTAAGTACGGGTGTTAGGCGAGAAGGATATTCACGGATGGGGAAGTCACAGGGGAGCAAGCGTGTGGAACGGGTGGCCATTGGTGATCCGGTATCTGACAACGGGATCTCAGTGTGCGATTTTTGCAGATGGCGCGCGCTTGCATGTATCCACCAAATCGAGCGTACATATATAGGGTAAGCAACTATAATAGCGGATAGTACCACTCAATGTGCGAGCCATGTCATGGGGTGACGCTTGATTGTTGGGCAGCGAGCGGCGGCGGAAAAAGCGGAAGGAGAAAAACAAAGAAAGAAAAAGTCGATGAAACGAACACCGGAAGTGAGCCGCGCCTGTTGTACCTCATCGAGGTCATGCTGGAGCGGTCTGTTTGGAGGCGAAGGAGGGCGGGGGGGGNGGAGGGGGGAGGCAGTTCCAAGTCATGCCAGGCCGTGGATCGCTGTGGAGGCTGCTCAAAGGAGGGGTAGTGTAGCAGGCGCTGGTGGAGCGCGTACTAGCCGCAGCAGCGTGAAAACATCGGTGCATATGTTGACAAAGGCAGAGGCCGGTGCTGCCGTGGTCATCAGACCAGGTAGGAAAGGCAGATGGAAGGCGGCCAGCCGTTCAATAAGCGACTTGGGTACACTCGACACAGCGATCAGTCCTTTTTGTGTAGGGGCCCCAAAAATAGGCGTTCAATATACGAAGATGACGCTAATCAGGATCATGCAGGCGTGACTGCTTTTGCGCACATTGGCAGGCAAATAGAGAGTTTCCTCGGGCAGGAGACGGGCTCTGAGTGGTTGCAGCAGGCTATGACACGACAACGTAAGCGCATGGTTTAGCCTAGAGGCGATCTAGAGGACCAAGACGGGCAGTTTGTCGATCTGGTGAGGTGAAGAAAAAAAAGCGGACGATGCATGCATAGATTCATAGTCGCACCCATGGGCTTGTCTGGCACCGTCATTGCAGCTGACGAGGCAAACGATCCTTGGGGCCACGCTTGTTGGTAGCGAGGAAGGGTAAATGTCGAGGACCCCTTGCCGGAGGGAATTGCACGTAGTAACACCGAGGCTGGCGTCGCCTTTTGACACATGGGCTGATTTGTGACGACGGTGGGATGCATGACTGGCAGGCAGTCTTACAGGCGGATGGTGAGTATGGTATACGATGGCAGACTAGGGGGTGGGCGCTGGAAGATTAAAGCGGAGTGGCATTGCCGGATTAGTGCATAGTATTACAAAGAGTCAGATCGGTGGTGTAACCATAGCTAGTAAGCGTGGTGCTTGAGGTGGCCCGACCTCGGATACTGTCCATGTGTGGTGCTGATTGAGAAACTTTGCTTCTATATTAGCTGCCATGTTGACGCCTGTTGCATCAGCAGGCGCCTTGATGCTGCCCTGATTCATGGCGTAATCCTATGCTCGTACGTGTTGCATGCAAGGGATGCAGGAGGCCGGCTCACCGTCAAGCGGCAGAAGCAAAACAAACGCCAGTGTGCGTCAAAACGAGTCACTGCCCAACCTGGCAGCAGCAACAGCAGTTGGGTGAGCAGCATAAAGGCCACCGACAAGCAAGTTTCATGAGCTGCGACGCGTCGTGTGAAGCCAAGTACAGCGCTCACATTACTTTTGCACAAGCCTCGCGAGTGTGACGGGCTGTTGCAGTTGTGTCGGCTGAATGGAGGGTGGGGGGTTCAAGGGGTGGTGAACGGCATGCCGCTCCCTTATTTTTTTCCTTGCACCCAGCGCACATGGCTCTTGTGAATGCCATGCTGTCTGTCTACGTAAGTACGTATGTACTTTGGGGGGGGGGGGAAGATAGACGGGATTAGCATGTATTGGATGCGGCAGGACATGAGCCGTGCCTTCGCTCCCACTGTCAACCAACATGTGCCGCCTGAGATGCATAGTGCGACCCGGCAAATGTCGAGCGCAGCGCAAGGAGGCTCACCGACGATTAGTGTGGCTGCTGATCAAGGCACCCCCCAAGGGCAGGCTACGGAGAAGGGCGATTGGCTGCCAATAGGGTCAACGTTGAACAAAGTGGGCTTGTCGAGCCGCCTAGCAAGGCTAATGCTCGCTCCCTAGGATAAAGTGCCGCTGCGCCTGCAAGAGACTTTGGTGTTTGACGTCGCCTTAGGGCGGGGGTCTAGAACACACATGGTAGCGGCCATGGGAGGCGAGTCTGTCTGTCACTACTACAGATGGATGGTACTGGGTAGAAATAGCCGTGGCGAGCGCAACAATGGGGCTACACAAGTGACCACTTGATGCTTCAGCAACTCTGTCCGTTTCGCGCGCCCTCGTGTTTGATTAGCCCGACAGACGGAGGGATTCCGGGTGGTGAGGTGGAGTAGGATATTTTGGGGGGGGGGGGCGATACGAGAGCGAAAGAGGGAGAGGCAGGCAGGCGAGGCGCGGTGTACATGCGCTTGGATGTGTATGTATGTACGTGTGTATGTGTGGGTGTGTGATATTGATTGTGTCGGAGGACCGATGCGGAGGCGACATGGAGACGCTCTGGCAGCGAGAAGGGCCTGTCTGTGTCGACCAAATGTGGAGATGGGCTTTGTTATGGACAGGGAAGAGTGACGCACGGCCTGTGACGGGCTAGCGTAGGCGGTGCCGCTTATACCGCAATCTTTGGTTCTTGCTACTTACCACTCTAGTGTCTTCGACGATGAGACGCCACGTTTGAGACCCACTCGACTCGTGGACCGCGCCCTGGTACGTCATTCAAGGGTTTCTTTCCCGTGTTGCAGATTGCCGGACTGGGCGTGGCACAAATGGCAGCTGAATACGCATACGTACGCTTTGATGAGGGCGCAGGACCCGCGCTGCGTCAATCCAAGCGGTGCGCCCGAACGAGGCCGGACATGGTCTTGTTGAAACGGCAGGCTGGTCAATCACGATTTGATGAGCCCAGCAGCGCACAATCCGGCTAGTCGGACAGCGACAATGCGAATAGTGCAAATGGCTGCAGGGCATCTCGTGTCGAGTGACGGACGGCACGGCGTTGCGAGCAGCTGGCTGACGAGATGGGTGATGGGCGATGGGCGATGGGGCAATGGGGGCGACGCAGGTCAGCATTGGGGACTTGAGGGTAACGCCCGTGTTTTGCAGATGGAGTGCGTGTGTAGTAAGAGACCAGCACACCCGCAACTGCTGAAGGATGGAGCGGGTGCTGCAGCCCGGTGACCACTCGGTGCTTACTTTTCCGCGTACAATGTCAGGTTGTGATGCACAGTGTGGTACAGTTGGCTACGCCGCAAAGTGGGAGCGAGGATCCAAATGACCGAGGCAGGTTGATGAGGCAAGAGTGACCGTCACAGTGGGCGTGGATGTCGGGGGGCCGCGGCGGCATGTGCTGGTCACGGGACTTGGGCCCCGTCATGACTTGTCTACTATGTAACCAAGCAAAGCAACACGGATGGATGGTCGACGACGACGACGACAACAACAATGAGACAGGCATCATCATGTGCGGAGCCGGGCGCGGGTGCAGCCAAGCGGCGGTTGATAAGGCACGTTTTCGAGTTGCATGCATGGTCGTTGGGGGAGGGCTCCGAGGGGAGGGCTCAGTCAGTCAGTCAGTCAGTCAGTCCGTCGTATACCACATGGAGTAGATGGAGTCTTGTTTTGGCGAGCAGATGCAGGCCCCCTGACCGGATCCTGATGGTTTGGACGAGACGACGAGCATGCGTGCGCCCGCGTTGGACCGCTGCCGATCATTCAGGCGGGACGAAACCAGGGTTCCTTCTCGGCGCTTCGGCTGCATCTCATCAGCGCCCGCCCCGGGGATTTGTGCGTGTCGAACGGCGATGCCGGTTTGGGCGTGGCGGCCGTGGGGTTGTGGCAGGCAGCATTTGTCGTCGTGATCGGGTGCGGCCCATGTCGAGGGGCCGGCCAAGTGCAAGTGCAGGCAAGGCCCGGGTCGGGCGTGTGCCAGACGACAGCCGGCCTTGGTGTGCACCAGCGCCGTACACGACGAACGCGCGTATGGCCAGTCATGGCATGCGGCGAGGGCGAGCCCAAGGGCAGGCAGGCTAGCACCGGCGTCGGCGTCCATGTCGTGGTTGACGAGTCCATTGCCATGGCCGTGTTTCGATGGGCAAGGCCGGCCAGGGCCAGGGCGGCGGGTGCACTGGTTTCAAGGCGTGCGTGTGTGGAGCATGGCGCTGGCCAAACGTTAAAGTGGTTTTTTTCCTCGCCCGCCTGCTTGTGCTTGTCCTGCCCGGCCTGCCTAAGCCCGGGCTGCACCAATCTCCGCGAGCGTCTGCGCCGTTGGCTGTGTGACGCAGGCGGGCAGTGGGTGCCAGGGTGCATGGGGCGAGGGACAGTCTGATGCTGCATCCGTTGCACGTCGCGCCGCTTGCAGGGACGGGCTGGCTGCATGTCGATTTCTGGAAGACGGTCGGCTAGCCGCTGGGCCAATGGCGTCGCCCCAACGCCGCCCGCCCCAGATGGCGCTTGGATACCCAAGGGCCAGCAGAGTGGTTTGCCGGGTGCGAGGGGATGGCATGTGCATGTGTGCTATGTATCTTGTACTATGTACGTAGTACATACTGGCCTAGTAGCACGACGACATGCCATGCTATCGGCTAGCATTGGGTGCCGTTCCAGGCCCCGTGCCCGCCTGCCATTGGCCGCACGCCCGCTCCCGAGAAAACATGTCGTAGCCCACCCAGCACGCTGCACCTGCGCCAACCAAACTCTGAGCCCCCATCCCCATCCTCCATCCACCCATCCACCCACATCCACACATGCAACCCATCCCCATCCATCCACCCATCCCCTGATCTCACCCGACCGCTGCTGCTTGATCCTGCTGCGTGCTACCTGCTGCCTCCTGCCTCCTGCTACCGCCACACAGGCTCACCGTGGCCGCCGGCCTGCGCTTCGACGCCCACGCACTCCCACCCCCCCTCTCACAACACCAGTACCGCCGGGCTTTGCCCCGTAAATTGACTATTCTGCACGCCTCCAACTCCGACTGCTGCTGGCCTGCCCTCAGCGCGGCTAAACCACCGCGCTGCCGAGCGAGGGCGTCGCCATGCATCCACCCACCGTCCGTCCCCGTCAAGCAAAAAAAAAGTCGACCAGGGCTAGTAGACCGCCTGGAGAGCCACCGCGGCGCCCACCCACACCCACACCCACGCCCCCCCTCGCATGCACACACGACACTGAACCCCGCCGTGGAGCCCAGCTGAGTCGCACTGCAAAGAGTCCCACTGTGGCCTAGTCGCACTACCGCACTACCGCACTCTGCCATGATGGCTGCTCGCGTCGTCGTTTCCCTTACCCTGCTGTCTCGACAAGCCGGCCGTCGTCTACTTACTTACTAGCTGCACGGATGCCCCGTCGCGCGCTGCGCCATGATACATGGTCCGCCGTGCTCGTCTACCCTCCCTGTCCTGTGATTTGGTCATCCCAAGCCTTCCTTTTCGCTTTCTGCACCCATGTCTTGCCGTGATCGTGCCAGCCGTGCCACTGGCCCTAGTCGTCACAGCGCTCCCTCACCGAGCCATCCCTTGGTGCTTGGTGGCTCCGTATAGTCAATACACACCCGTTCCCTGTCTGCATCTATCCCACTATTACTTGTTCTTGTCTTTGGCTAGTCTAGCCCTGGCACTCCTTGCACCATGACTTTTGCCGCGACCTCACGCTGTTCCAATTTCCCCATCCACCCTTCCGCATCTGTCTATATCTCTTGGCACTCCATATACCTATGCACATGTCCCCTCCCCCTTCGCTTCATACAAGAAGAACCGTCATCAGCTCTTGCACACATATTCAACCTGCCTGGACACATCAACACCCAACAACACCCACCACTCCCCCCTTCCTGTACATGCCGACTTCCCTTGCATCCTACCATCTCGACACCATGTCCGGCCAGATGCAGCCAGCACAACTACACCGACGCACCTCTCGTGGCTCGGCCAGCCAATCAGGATGCCGTTCGTCACGCATTGAGAAGACAAAGAGCCACCACAGCAGCCCAAAGGCCATGGAGAGGCGCAAGACTACTTCCGAGACCAAGCTATACGCTACCCTCGACGACCACTACCGAATGATGTTTGGCGTAGAGCCAGAAGAGGAGGAGCGTCCCCAGTCAACCCGACCCGTGAGCTGGCATCCCGCGTCATCACAGGTGCAGACTTCACAACAAACAAACTACTTTGACCCCATGCCAAGTCAACACTGGCAGCAAAACTACTCGCCATCACGAGACTCGTGCCATGGTTCCGACTATTACTCGCTCTCTGCCCGCAACTCGATGCTCGAGCCCCGGACTAGTGCTCCATCCGAGTATGGCTGGCAAAGCATGCCTCAACACACTCCCGGCTATGTCGACTCTTGTGTCAACACGCCCACCTCGGAGCCTCTTCCATGGTACCTGCAGCAATGGGCACAGAAGAACCAAGCACAAAACACTGCCTCTGCCCAGCAGCAAGACCAGGACATGGACGACGAAGAGGAAGGCGAGAAGCTTGTTGCCCTTGGCCTATACGATGCCCCGGAGCCATCACTCAGCTGGGGTGCCCTTACCGAGGGTACCGGAAAAGGCCTTAAGCTCGAGGAGACTTGGCAACCACCCGAGGAAGACGAGGACGATCAAGACGATGACGATGACGCAAGCTCAGAAGGCAGTGTCGAGGAGCCATCGCCCCCTCTGCCGCCCGTCCATGAACAGGCACAGAACATGGCAGTCCATGTCAAGTCTCAAACACCCAGCAGCATGGAAGGCCAGAGCTTCTTCTTCGACGACGACGAGACTGTATCCAAGGAGTGGTGGTTTCAACAAGTCAAACAACCCTCCATGCCAGTGCGGGACGCTGGACTAGGATATGGGTGGTTGTGAGCATGGTCACAGCTTTACATTACTTGTATATTTTTAGTCTTTACACCTTTTTTGGTCTTTCAGCACAGCACAGCACGGCGTTTTTTTGTTTTTGTTTTCTGCAATGGCTCCCAGTTGGGAGTAAAAAAAAGAGCACTATTAGACAACAGCGAGAGCGAGCGAAAGAGATACCCAGCCTTCACAGGCAAGAGAACCAGTCTTTGCATCATCGCTCACACCGAGGTCAGATGGAGAGGAAATGCATGTGTATACTAGTAGATAGTAGTAGTAGTAGTATAGTAGGAGAAGAAGGCATGACTGCAGCCAATCAAACACATAACAAATCATACCAAGTCCATGTTCCAATGACTATGCGCGTGGGTGTGTGGGTGACTACTTACAATGGCAGGAGCAAGCAGCAGTAGGCAGCAGGCAGCCAACCAAGGGGGAAGGCGCCCTCAACACACTGCTATGCCAGCATCATCATCATCATCATCATCACCACCACCACCACCACCACAACCACAACCATGACCACGACCATGACTACGACCAGCGACACCACCATGTGCTTGAATATCGAATGTCGCTCGCTTGCCTACTCATTACTCAGTCATGTCATCCATCGTCGGCGGCAAAGCATCGGCCTGGTCGTGCCATGGCGCAAGCTTCTTCCACGCTTCTAGCCACGCTTGCTCAAACCTTGGGAAACCCTACATGCTGGAACAGGACGACTAGCTTGCGGCATGCGCCGAGGCCAGGGTTGGGCGTCTCTATCCCAAAACCCACTTCGAGCCCGGCAACCCAGCAAATGGCGCGTCGGCGACATGGGCCCGCATCCTCCGGGCCCATTTCCCTTCAGGTCCCAGGTCAGGCTTGCGCAAATTGATCCAACAAGGCGATTGTGTCACACTGGCCGGCAAAGGCCCGATGACCGCCATCATCATCCCGTCCCTCAGCCTCATCCGCCAAAGCACTGACGGAACTGCCTTCACTAATCAACCACTAACCGACAACTAACCGACGGCCCAGCTACCCCTCGCTGACTTGTCCTCTTCTCATGCCGCCCCTTGGCCCGTCCACCAATGTGCCGCCAAACGGGGACCCATCTGCATCTTTTCCCCATCCATCGCCCAACCTCGGCGAGACCCGCCATAGTTGCCTCGTCCCAACTTCTCACCACGCCGCCCATGTCTGCCACGCTCGGACGCTACCCACGTAGCGCCCAATAGCCTTTTACACGACAAAGGTTCCAGAGTATGGGGTGCCAGATTGCCCTTTTGCCCCGGCTTTAACCGCCATTCTCTTACCTCATTGGCGCGATGCTCCGCCTGCGCTAATCGTCTCCAGTCCAATCCAAGACGGTTTCTTTTTATTTCTTTTTATTTCCCAATCGTTTCGCATCCGACGCGTTCTCACGTGCCCTTTGCTTTGCTTCGAGACGCACATCAGCCACTCCACTGCTGCACACTGGCAGGGGTCCCACTGCCCTAGAGACCCAACCTCTTTCTTGTCGCACGCCCTGAGGCTCGGGGGCGTCTAGAGCAAAAATAACTCCGTGTGTCCATATGGACTCGAATAATAGCTCTCGGTTTGTTGTGACGGCGTGGCGCAATGGCCATGAATTGCTTCAGCTACGCCACGACTTGTACTGCTCTGAGACGCTTAGAAGAGAAAAGGCTGTCAACAAGGTGAGCTGACTTTTGTCGGTCTGGTCGTCTAAGAAGCATAGTTCCAGACCGACGCAAGGCAACAAGTAGTAAGCTGATGGCGGCTAGGTTTTTGCGTGGCGCCTGCGTAAGCCAGATGCTCTGCCTTTGCTGCTAGAATCGACGGCAGATATTGTTGATGTCATCCTCCAAGATGAGAGGGGCGGGCTGCAGCATAATGCCTTGCGGCTGTTGTATGCAACAGCACTATCAAGGTAGGTTTCCCAACCAGCGGTCAATGTTGGCTAGATGTGAAAGATCCTTGTCCGGTACTCTGTATCGAGGCACCTATTACAGAAAATGCTTGGAGCCAATTACCCTTGTCTGTATCATTCACATGCTTCGTCTTGCTTCACCCAGACCCAAAGCATTGGGGAATCGAGACAAACACAAAACATAGGACAGGCCCCCGTCTAACAAGTGCGCAGATTCGTAACCGGCCTAGCAGATACCCAGATCGACTTGACGCGTGATCGCCCCTCGTGGTTTCCCGCTGGAAAATCCCTCCAGCTACCCCTCTCCCTGCTGGAAACGCGGCACCGCATCGTTCATCGGCATTTGCCATCGCTTGCAGAGCTGAAGCGCGCTGCCGCAGACTCTCTCGAGTGGCTGTGGGAGTGGTACTGGCGACAACTGGATTATGCCTTTGAGACTGGCGACGCCGACGGCGAGGCTGAGGCTGAGTTTGGGTTAGAAACTAGAGCAGCAATCAAGGAGAAACTGCAAGCCGTATTGAAGTCGTACGTCAAGGAAAGAAAGAATGAGATCAAGCAACGACGACAAGACAACAAGGCCGCTCAAACAGCCTTGTCAACGTACACCTTGCATTTCTCCGCCAACACGCCCACACAACGTGTTCTGCTTGACCTCGTCGTAGACGACAAAATGATTCTACCCACGGACAAGAAGCTAGGCTCCTCAATGTCCGGTGCCTTTCTCATCTGGACCCCTTTACTCGTAGCATTCTGTACTTCATCTACACTCTCAATCAACGCACTCGTTACTCGCCTCCTCGACCAGCTCTCCGTGTTCAAGGTAAGCAGCCATCATGATTCCATCGTGGACTCGGACAACCCTATCAAAGAAGCAATGTACACCTGGCTCCTCCACATTCTCACCTCATCCGATTGGGCCCCTGCAAGACGAGTCGTCGCTGTATCAGCGGAGAAGAAGATGCAAGAAGAAGTTCTTGTGCAGATTTTCTCTGGCCCGTGTTTCTGGGGCTTGAAACTCGCCGAGGCGCTGCTGGACAAGGGAGATGTGGCTAGTGCGGAGTCCTGGCGTGCTGTTTTAGTTGCTGCGAGGAGTGAGGGCGAAGTAGAAGGTGACGATATGGAGCTTGATGTTGAGGCTGAGAGTATAACCGCGGCGTTGCCTGTACGGCGGACTGAAAACGGGAGCCAGGAAAAGATTCAGGGACCTGTTAAGGTGTTGGGAATGTGGAAGAGTAGGCCGATTGGATGGATACCTGAGGGGTGGGATGATGATGACTAAGTAGAATTTTCCTTCTCCTTGTTTAAAGGACTTGGTTGAGCGAGATTTTTTTTTGTTGTATAAAAAAAAAGTGTCTTTTTTTGGTATATAAGCGACATGGAAAAAGTTTGGCTTGGGTCTTGATGAAAATATGTAAAAAGGTACGAATCACTCTTTCCATTTGTTGATTTTCTTTGTGTGTTCTTCTACAATATATCTTCTTCTCTTTCTATAATAATTGGCAACATGACGTTCAAAAGATGGGTAATAACATGGTATTATTACAAGAGCCCCGCGCAAAAAGGGGTGGTTAACGAATTTTACATCTTGGCCTTCACATCAGCGGGTAAGATACGATCTTCGACCATGCGCATGAGTTTGATAGTTTGTTCGGCGAGGGTAAGGGTGAGAATCTAATTGTGGCAAAGTTAGCACCAAACTCGCAGAGAAGCAAGAGAGAGAGAAAAGAAACATACCGTATGCGGCAATATCCTGGCCAAATGGGCAAAATAGCCCTTATACAAGGCCAGCACGCCCTCTGTTCTCACCGTCCTGGCCAAACAATCAAACGCACTCGTGTACAAATTGCCCGTCTGATTATACATGCGCGACATGATCGTATCCGGGGGGTGCATAACACAGCAAACGACGAAGCCACTCGCGGTACTACTCGCCACATGCAGCGGCATACCCTCTTGCATGCCGAGATGCTTGACGAGCCTCCTCTTTGCGAAAAAGTACGTGGGCAACTGGACCGAGCTGCCGAACCCCGTTCTTACCATTGCGGGTCCCACGCCCCGATACAGTCCCTTTATGCCCTCGGCAGAGTAGATTTGACGCATGCCGTCGAGCGCGTTGCGGTAGTGGTGCTGGGTGCCGACGGGGAGGAAGGGCGAGTACGATTGCAGCCGCGTTTTCACGAGGAAGAAGGGGGATCCGGCTGCGGCGCCGAGGACCCCCGACGAGGCGCCTGCGAAAAGGTTTATCGAGAAGGATTGTATAGTGGGGTCGTGGTAGAGGGTTGTGGTGAGAGTTTTGCGGATGGGCTCGTAGAAGCCCAGGCGGCAGCCGTTCAGGGTCATTTGGTAAATGTACTATTTCTCAAGTATTAGTACATTTTTTTTTCGGGAGTCTTTGGGGGTTGTTTTTTTTAGAGAGAGCTAGGGAGAACGTACTGCACATCCTAACCCACGTAATAGGCCTCGGGGCCCCTCGTTCTTGAGAATGACGCCGACACCGTGGAAGACTCCCCTATATAACCGCGGCGCATCGCTCTTTGCCTTTAGCTCGCCTTGTAGTTGTAGTCTGGGCGAAAGCGGTCAACCAGCTTGTTCGCTTGCGAATATGTTTTTGTGTGTTTGTTTGAAGGCTAAGCCATTGGGAAGAGAGTGATTATATTGCGCACCGGATCTTGACTGTTTCGAAGCCGTGCGTCACTGTCACGGCTCCGCATGCTGCTATGCCGCCGGCTATGAAGGAGCTGGCAACGGTAGACATTAGTTATTGTGTATCTTGATTGTGGAAAGGGAATATCTTACCCAAGGGTTGTAGACATGCTGCGCCTTTTATGCGACTGAGCGCTCTGACTTGGAGGTTCTGGACAGTTGTATCGCCGTTTGAGGTCTTACGATCAAGTCGCCGTCTACCGTTTCGTCTGTGTGTCGCCGCTTACCAGAGGTTCGCCAATTTCAAGGGGGAAAGGAGTGTAGGGCTCCGAGTCAAGACCGTGGGAAAGTAAAAGAATTGAAAAGTGTTGTAGTGTACAGAGGGCAAATGCAGGGCGTAGTAATTGTGAATAATCTCTCGGGGGTCCGGTTTCGGCTCAAGGCCGGTTGACGCTGTGACCCACTTTCTACCTCGCACCGCATTCTCATGCGCGCATTCCGCCGGCTCTAGCTCAGTCCCACGGTCGCGTCGCGTCAACCCTCACGCCTACGGAATTGCTACTCGACGCACATGGACATATAAAGGAGATATCGAGCTAAGGATTTACGAGCTCCTCCCCACCCAAGCACTGCAATGGCTGGGCTAGCAACGCCTGGTGGAGGGCCTCCTCCACCGCCTGCGGGCCCACCGACACAAAAAGTGAGCGACGTCATAACGAGCTTCCGGCCTCAAAGAGTAAAAAGTCCCTTTAGCACCCATGACACCTTGTACCTGTATATTCACAATGCCTGCAGCGCTTCAAGTCCGGCGGCCACGGAACGTCCATTACCTCGCTCGACTTTGACGACTCGGGCGAACTCGCCATTGTAGCCCGCGACGACGACACACTGCAAATCTACAACTGCAAAGAAGGCAAGCATGCAAAAGAGCTCAAGAGCCAAAAGTATGGCGTCCACCTTGCGCGCTTCAGCCACCACGCCCAGAGCATCATTTACGCCAGCACAAAGGTCGACGATACTATCCGTTTCCTCTCCACCCACGATAACTCGTACATCCGCTATTTCAAGGGCCACACCGACACAGTTACATCGATTGCCCTGTGTCCGTCCAAAGATGATTTCATCAGCTGCTCGCGGGACAACACGGTGCGCCTGTGGAACCTACAGTCGCCAAACTACGTTGGTATGCTCAATCTCCATGCGCCATATCTTGCTGCCTACGACCCGTCAGCGACCGTCATTGCCATCGCCTCGCCGCCGACGCAATCTATCCTCCTCTATGACATGCGTAACTACGACAAGCCGCCATTCGCCACGTTTGACCTGCTAGAGTACGAGCAGCGCTTCATGGGAGGACAAAAGGTGGACTGGACAAAGATGGAGTTTAGCAATGACGGCAAGAGTCTAGTTGTAGCCACCAATGGCAGCGGCCACTTCGTCCTCGATGCCTTCTCCGGTGATATCTCGCACTTTTGTTACCGCAAAGCTGGATCCTCGGGGCGCCTACCACCCGCGTCGTCCGTCACCAATGTCAGTGGCGCTGCACATAACGGGGACACGCCTGCAAACGGCCAAGGCGATGTGTGCCTTACTCCAGACGGTCAGTTCTTGATTGGAGGCAGCGGAGAAGACGGCCTGCTGGTATGGGATATTTCCAAGCCTCCTGCGCCCAATAACATCTTAGAGCCAATGGAGAAGCTTCCGGGTCAGGGCAAGGGTGCTGTTGTCGGGTATAACCCTAGGACGAATCTGCTCGCGAGTGCAGACAAGGATTTGTATCTCTGGCAGCCGGATGCCGATTTGATGATTTGAGGAGGGATTTGAGAAGCCCAGAGTGCTACATGGGTGTTTAGGGGAAAAAGAAAAAAAGTCTAGACAAGAAAGGCCGGACCTGAGCGAGGAAGGGGATGCGCCAAATAAAGTGTAATTCGAGCAATCTACCCCAAGGCCGTTGTGTTGGAAAACAGGTACAGCAAGTAGATAGATGGCCATGGTGGAATGCTGTCCTCGGTCCGAATTGCGCAAAATCCATGGCCGATGGTGCCTATCGGATGAGTAGTAGGCGAAATGGGACTCTACGAAGAAGAAGGTCACGCTCCAAGAGCATAGCAATACAACCAAACCAGCAAACTCATAGACATAAAGATAGCGGATATGTTTTCAGATATCCGAGCACGTGACGAATGCGAAGCAGAGCGCCAAGAAGGGCACGGGCTGGCCATTACTTTTGGGCGACATCTCGCTTGAGACTGTCTGCTGCCATTGATCAATTTGCAGATCTGACAGAGTGCTTAAGGCGAGCGAATGACCAACCCTGACACGGACATGAATTTGCAGCAAACCCCGAATCGAGCCGGACCCAAAATGAATCAGTCGATGAGGGGCGCCTTGTGCTCCACAAAGTTGCTTTTCTGACGCTCACCCCGCACAAGGATGGATTGTGGCGCTGAGCCTCGCACACAAGTCAGCTGCGTTGAGTGAGCACAGATGGTGACGAGGTGCGGTGCTTGGGTTGCTTTGCATTTAGGCCCAGCACAGTGGGCTATGTTGCAGACACGGGCGAGTGTTTTTGTCATTTGCACCACGGCATGCTGAAATTGGACACATGAATGACAGCAGCGAGCATGGGGTTGGCTGACAAGACAGGGTGCGGACACACCGCAGAGGCAAAATACGACGGCTCACGGCTCACGGCGGACTGTGAGACCATCGTATACACGACCGACGCGTCGCCCATGTCGGGGGCCATGGAGCCATGGTCGAGGCTCTGGAGCGTTTGTGCTACGACGCATGTACGAGCAGCAGCTCAAGCTGAAGAGGCAGCCAACAGGCAGCGCAACCCCAGGATTGCTTAGGTCGCTGGCGCCCGCAGACCCCGGCTGAGGGCGAGGATCAAAACTGGGCCAGTCGCCGTGCTTGGAGCCGTGAGTTTGCCATCGACGGACCCGCTGTCATCTGGCCCGCCCTGGCCAGGATAGCCCGGATGCGTGGTGAGAGACTGACGAAATGTTTGCTGAGCTCGTGAGTGCGACGATGAAGAAACAAAGCAGTGGTTGGTTGTTGGTGGAGAGCGAGAGCAGGTCGAGATGGGCTCTGGGGGTGGCGAAGGACCACGTCCAAGGAGCCCCTAGACCCTTAAGCCGAGCCCCATGGCTGTGCTGGAGGCCTTCTCCGCCCATCACATTGTCGCAAACGCCTCTCTCCACAAGCAAGCACAGAGGGAGGATCCATGACGGCCCCCGTCCCGCCTAGATGCAGCAGCCTCACCTTTTGGCCAGCAGAGTTTTCACGGCGCCCGTCGAGGAAAAGAAGCACCGTCCAGTCAGACGGGCGACATGTCGACGGCACTACTGGCGCACACCTACTGGGGTTCTCCGCATATTGCCCATAGCGCTGGGTCATTCGCGCCTTGCCTCGTCAACCTACTAGCCATATCACCACGCCCCTCTTCTTCTGCCATTCCCCGACTCCTCCCCGACGGCTTACCCTGCCTCGACTTGTCGACTCTTCTGCGCCTCAGACCCTTCCCGGTATCCCGAATTGAAACCTGCTCGCTGTTCAAAACCGTGTCATCTGCGTGGGCCATGTCCGTCTCTCCGCCCTGAACATGGTCTCGTGACATGCTCCCATCTCGACATTGGTGCGTGTGGTCCACAGAGCCAAGCTCAGCTTCGCCTATTCACTAGCACTGCATTGAGTTTACCTTTGCTCCTGTGGGCTCGTCCCGTGCCCGTCAACCAAACTACACTCTCACCATCGACACCCTCCCCACCCGAGAATGCCAATCTGTCGGCTCAGCTACTCCTTGCCCAAGATCGTGCATGAGTTTGGGTAGCGGAGGATGTTGCGAGCTGGTACCGAGAGCACACCATCAACATTGAACCAGCACCCTGGGACTGTCTGGACCACCAACAGTTCCGCCACGTTACCATTCATCTTGCTTCCGCCGCCAGCCATGAAGCTCACATTTCTGCCTCGGCCGCCGATATCCGCTTCCAGAAAGCGTAGCCGAGCTGTGGCTGATATCGACGGAGAACATTCATGTGTGCAGAAAAAGAAACGCCGGCTTCGACTATTTCTCATCACATCACGACTATCTCCGCAGTTTTCACATCCAGCATCAAACATTGTCGATCGAGGCAGTTCAAAGATTGCAGTATGGGCCAAGCAAAAGGCCTTGGGAAGGAACTTGCTTCCCAAAGCGGCCATTTTGAATGGCATACGGAGACGGAACATCCTCATGAGGAACTCGTCGGGACCCAGCGCCCGAGTGTCGATTGTTCAGGAAAAGGAAAAGGCTCAGCTTGAACTGGCTCGTTTAGAATTCACTCACGGAAGCGTCGACACATATACTCATCCAGTCCTACTTCAGCATCCATCAGTCCCACCCAGCGCCGCCATACGGACCGGCAATCGATTTGTCATGTCCGGGTCACCTACCAGTTCTCCGAGTTCGTCGAGAAGCCCTTCGCCGACGTCACACGGTTCTCCAACGTCAGGTCCTAATGAGACAGCATCGTTCCGCTCACCAAACGAAGCATGGGTCATGACTTCACCCCCAACCAAAGGACACTCGCTGCATAGAGACTACCATCCCCTACCGCCGTCTCCGCTAGGTGTATCAAATTATGATGCTTTCGATGCGGAGGAAGATGAGGTGGACCTCTATGCTCATCTGGACGACGAAGGACCCCTGCCAAGTCCATTTGATGAGGAAGATGACGATGAGGTTGTCCCGTTCTCTCCCTCTGCCGTCACCACCAATGTCTCTACGACAATACCAACCAGTACTGCGCATGCGACTAGCATGTACTCTGACTACACCATGCCCGACTATGGCCATATCGACACAGACGCCAACTCATCATTGCTAAACACATACTCAACCTCTCATTCCGCATCAAAGCGGACAGACTCGTTTGCAACATCGCCCAACTTCCGCCCTTGCATACCGAAAAAGTCGATATCACCAGAGATGTATGCAGTAACCCCGACGACATCTGTTTCGCCAAACTTTGCACCATCGACCCCAGTATCAGCGAATAACACACCCACGGCGACGTCGCCCAATTTTGTTTCTTCAATGGCATCGCCGGTAATGTTTCGCGAGTTCCCGTCATTGGCCGCTGGGAACTCTACCACAAACTTTCCGCCATCATTGGCGTCACCACATCCGTCGTGGGCAAAGAAGGTGAGCTCGACTGAGGAATGATTTATTTTGAAAATCGGGTGGTTAATCCTGTCTTTGTTAAAAAAAAATGACACTCTGAAAAAGGTAAACCCCACTACACGAGTTTATTTTGCATGCTAGTGGGTCTAGGGGGAATTGGGCACACACATTTGTAATTGCATTCATCTTGCATAGGAGCATTGGGAAAGAAAGGACCAAACAATTCAAGGGAACAACAAAAAGGGTCAATATGGGAAGATGGGGGGGAGTAACATAAGAGGGAAACTGTATTTCTGGCGCAACGGGAGGGGACTGGATTGGGATTGGGATTCTGATGTGGACCCAATAGCATGCATGCATTTTTATTTTCTATACATGTAAGATATGTGTATATGCGAATACATACAAGCAGGAGGGGCATATATCATGGTGGTTCTTGTTTTGGGTCTGGGGAGGAGGGGTATGAGCAATTTTAAAATTCCCAAATTTTCTTGATCAAAAAATGAACATGAGTTGGGTTTAACTTTTTTTATGCTTTACGATTTCCCACTGTAGTAGGATTTTTTGCGTTTTCTTTTTATTAATCTATGGCCCGTAATCACATACATATATGACTGACTGCTACTTCTTACTGCTGTTGTTGTTGCAACTTGCCCGCGCGATCCAGGGCAATATCGCACATGGCTTGTATAGCTTCTTGGCGCTCAGCGGCGATATCGGCGCGTGCAATGCGGTCACGCATGTTGTGCATGATTTCGGGGCGTGAACGGCCGTTCACAAAGACACTGTTATTTGATTAACCAAACTATGCCCAGTTTCTTTCTCTCTGTGTCGCAGACAGAAATTTGCAAATCAAGTGAATATGCAGCAAAGAGACAGAGAAAAAAAAAGGTTGAATAGAAAGGAGAGGAAGAAAGAGGGAGGAAGGCACAGGGGGGAGGGGATTGTTTATCTTACACATATCTCAACCCGGGAAAGACAGCCTCATATTCCTCATTCAAGATCTTGAGTTCCTCGCCCTCGCCGGCCAAATTCGCCTGCTCAGCCCGACTCTGCTCGCTTTCTACTTTCTTCGCTCCGAGTCTCGGATGCGCACACAATATCTCTTGCAAGCGCTGTGCGTCCTCTGCGGTAGATGAGGCGGCTAGAGCGCGGAGTTGCGTTCCTACGGCGGCGATGAGGACGGGGTAGGAAGGGAAGGTAGTGCTGCGCAGGACGGGGAGGGAAAGGGTGTGGAGGGCGGGGCTGGGCTCGAAGAGGAGGTCGAGGGTAGAGGTTAGGGTTTGGTCGGGGGCGTGGGGGAGGGAGGAGATTGGGGGAAGAGAGGGGGCCATTATTTTAGTGGCTTTTGGGGGTTTGGAATTTGCGGGGTTTGGGATTTGTTGCTTTCTTTTCTGGTTGGAGATGGTGGCCGTTTTTTTGCTTTTTGATGATTGGAGTACGAGGATGGGTGGCACGCTGGGGGTAGTGGACCGGGGAGTGGGAGGTATGACGTCTTGTGGGGTTGGGTTTCTGGTTGAAGTGTGTAGTAGAAGCGTGGATGGAGAGCTGAGAAGGAAAGAGGTCCAACTGGTTTTCAATGTCGTTAGTTTTAGGACTATTTTTTTCTGCTCTCTTCGGCACGGCCGCTGCCGTCCGATCAGCGATGCGGTGATGGATGCATGGTGGAAGATACTGCGGGTCGAAGCTGCATGCTGCAAGGGCAGCAAGATGGTCACTGGTCTTGAGAATGCTGCTGGGTGGGTCGTCTTGGTGCGGGGCAGACGCGATTGCGATAGTGGCACGACGCTTCTTTGGGTCTTGGGCGGACGGTGGCTGGCTAGCTCTCTGCTGGCTTCGATGCTCTTTGGACGCGCATCGTGTTTCTGGCAGCTGAGATCAAGGGGAGATATCCGGTGTGTATGTCCTACTTACGAAAATGTCGTCATGTAGCTGACAGACTTTACGGCTGAGAGGGCCATGCATGGAAGGACAAAACAACTTTCAAAGTCTGGAAATACCACTTTTTCAAGGAACAGCCATGATGAGGCAGCGATCTCCCGTCGTGACCAGGTGCAGGACATGTAAAACGGCGGGTTGCTTCTTCCCCGGCATCCCATGTGTGCCGTTGGCGAAAAGCAATTGCGCACTCCGGGGCACCAACGGCCATCAAATACCCCAACGGTGACGTGACAAGAAACAACCATAACTCATGCAGTGCCTGGCTGTGACTCTGCGTGCCTCAGGAACACTGATGGAGCTGTGCCGTGTTCCTGCGTCGGGTGGAGAGAGAGGGGCGAGTCTATCAATGCAGGCCCCATTCATTGCCACATGGGCGGCACGAGGTGGTAAGATGGTACCCTAGGCATAGCGCAGCCACGCAGGTACCGCAGCTCGTGCTCCAATCCAAGGCGTCAAAGGGCCGTTTTTGGTGTAGGCATACAAACACATTGTTTTGCTTTGTCGGTGAATAGTCCGGGTCGGCAGCAGTGGGGACTGGGAGAGGGAGAGGGAGAGGGTGCGGGCTAGGGGCGTCTTCAGGGCTGCGCGCCGGTTTACCCCTGTGAGCTTGTGTGCCTGAAACGCGGCGTCTCCACGTTTGGCCGTCTATTTGGCCTTGACTGCGAACTCGCGTCCCCTTTGCAGCTGCCGGGTGCTCAGCGCATTATTACCAGACTTACGCACATGGCCGTTTGCACATGTACATACCCACACACTTTTACATACTTGCGTATTTGACTGTTGCTGAAGCCGTCGCATTGCCTCAGCGACCACTACACCCACACCCACACCCACACCCACGCCCACGCCCTCTCTCTCTTCCTCCCCATGGCCCGTGCCGAGCGCCTCTGAGACCCTTTGCTCTCTCTCCTCTCGTATCTCGCCAATTGCGGACCCCCAGCTAGGTTGACCCCTGTCCAGCTTTGACCTCCTGGATATCTTGATTGCCCGTCGTCGAACGACCAGCGGCGACGAAAAAAGAAAGCCGCCTCTTTCGCTCTGAATACGCACGGCTTTGGAGAGAGCCTGTCCCCACACGCCCGGCCCTCTCTCTTTGCTCCACGGCTATCATCATGTCGCTCAACGGGCTCGACAATGTAGAAGTCACACAGGCGTACCAGGGCGCCCTCGCCGAGGCTGGTGGTTGGTACGACTCTCCTGCCGCTGCTTCTCGCCCACTTGTTTGCGCGCGCAATCTGCTGACAGCTGGCGGTCTAGGTTTCTGTTGAGATACACGTCGAGGGACTCTGTCCAAGTCCTCAAGCGGGGCACTGGCGGAGCAGGAGAGGCGCGCGCTGCCGTCGCTCAGTACGAGGACAAGTCACCGCTATATGGCCTTCTGCTCTACCGTCGGCGCAAGGTCTTGGTCAAATACGTGCCTGATGGGACTTCGCGCCTGCTGCAAGGTATGCCACAATGCTGACTTTGCTGCATGGATTGCTGCTGACTGCCCATCTGTAGCACGTGTCGCTGTCCACTTCATCAACATCTCCGAGAAGTTTGCGCCTCACGACATTGTCCTGTCCATCTCCACTCCAGAAGAACTTAGTGATGCCGCCCTCGCATCAGCATGCAGTCTGCACACCGCCGCGCCTTCGAGCTCCTCGTCCAGTGGGTCATCGCGCGGGCCAAAACTTAGTTGGATCCAGGAAACTGCCGAAGAGACATGTCAGCCAGACTCAACCGAAAAGTTGACAACATCGGAAACAGCGGATACCAGTATACCCACTATAATGGAGCCGTCCAGAGGCAGTACTGAGGAAGATCCCACACGCTGTGCCTCTCTCACTTCGCAAACCGAGTCTGTCCCGTTGATACTGGAGGAAAAGGCTATTGGCCACAAGATTGCACCGCACATCTCCCATGTCACCGTTGAGACAGTGACTGAGCCCCCAAAGACACCTGAAAACACTGATCTGTCAGACCTGCAAGACACGTTCAAGAACTACGACTCGCTGTTTGAGGGCGGACCCGAGCCGAGAAGCTCGTCTCAGACGACGCGGCCAGACTACAACGAGCTTTATGAGCACTACTACGCGCAGTACACCAAGCCCAAGGTCAAACTGGGCCCACGGCCACGCCAGTCGCTCGAAGGAAAGCGCCCAGCCACGTCAGGGAACACGTCACAAGACATGGCAAGACAGGTGGCATCGCTCCCCGCAGGGCTGCGCTCTGCGGCGCGAAAGGCGGCCCAGAAGAAGGAGTCCGAAACTACCTCGTCCAGCGCTGTTCCCGCCATCGCGGTTCCTCCACCGCTCGATTTACCTCCAATGCCCGAGGTGCCACACTCGCCTGTTTCGTCGCTATACACACCGCGCTCGCCGATCAGTGTCAAGTCTATGCCTGTTGCTGCGTATAAAAGCCACCTTCGAGCCACGGGAACAACGCAAGAGCGGACGAGGCTGATGAAGGCCCTGGAGCTGCGCAAGAAGCAGCAGCAGGCCCAACAGGCGAAGAAGGACAAGGCAGCCGGCGAATCGACTGTAGATACTGAGGAGGCGGAAGTAGGTGAAGAGACGGCAGACTCGGCGGAAACGGCACCTACCGAGCATGGCGAGGAGCCAGAGGCAAACAAAGAGGTATTGCTTGCCGACAATCTGCCCACTTCCCAAGGCCCAAGCAATTCTGGGCTCGTCTTTGCAGACAACCCAACGGAGGGAGACGACCTAAACTCGACTGTGTCGATATCATCTCCCATCTCCGCCCAAACCCACGGTTCGTCTGGCGCACCATCAACGCGGCCGTCGTCCCTGTCCGACGATGAGAGCGGACTAGACGACCCACAAAAGCGCCAGGGTACGCTAGAGTCCCAAGCTCCTGATCCCTTTGACGAAGAACATTCCGTCGACAGTACACCAACCGTGGTCGCTGACAGCACCACCCCCTCTCCACCCACCGACGTCCACGACGAACCCGCGCAGGGTCCGCTTATCACCCAACGGGCGCCTTCTTTCGACGACGATGCAGACAGCAGCAGCAGGAGGAACACGCTGAGGCCCGCCGAGGACGACACCCACGCCCGCCGCCGCTCGAACCGGGAGTCGACCATATACATGCCTTCAGATGCGGCAGCGCAGCCAGAACAGGGGCCAGCTACAAAGCGCAACAGAGAATCTATGCTGTTGCCCGCTGGCTCAAAGAGGGACAGTTGGTTCGAATCCAAGGGGAAGCGCCGTGCACAGCTCGACCCACTCCACGTCAGTGCGGAAAACTCCGAAACCGAATATCTGTCCGACGACTCCTTCATGGAAGAGTTGCAGAGTGCTACAGTACATGAAGCCAAGCCCATGTCCGTGTCCAAGTCGCCCATCATGCCCTTCTTCCCACGCAAGTCACCGTCCCAAGCTGAGCTGTCGACACCCCCTAGGTCAGCATCGTCAAACTACCCTACTAGCCTTACGCGTCCCTCCCCCGAACAACAGCCTGCTCGTAAGGTGTCTGGCGGCTGGCCGCCGCCACCACGGTCTGACACGTCGACGGCTCCCAAGAAAATTAATGTTTCGTCTGGCATCTCACAAAGAATCAAGGCTCTTGCCGAAAAGACCAACAGGGAGTCGGCTTCTGTGAACCCTGCAGCCGCTACCCTGACTGCGCCAAGTTCGTCTGTCGCCCAACGCAAGTCTTCTTTCTTTGCATCCTCGCCTCTTGACACATCGTCCAATGGATTGTCTGCCTCTCGCAATGGAAACACGTTGATACGGCCGTCGTCTTCTGCATCAATGATTGATAGGAAACCGTCGGGCCCAATCAAGTCTACCGTATACAATGTGCAACAGGGGCCCGAGAAGCCAGAGTCTGTTCAGGTTACCGCACGAATTGTTCGTGATGAGCGAACCATGAACCCCACCCTAGCCATGCCGACCGAAGGCACGCCGCTGGACCTCCACCAGAGCCCCCTGATTATTGACCACCAAATAGCCACTCCCGCACCCAAGAGCCCCCCTCAGCCGAAACCGGAGACACCGGCCTCTCGAGACACCTCGTCATCACACTCTCGGGACCACAGTCTGGCACCCTCGCGGACGTCTTCGGAGAGCACATGGAGGACATTTGGTCGCCGGATGAGCGAGTCGAGGTCTGTTCACAGCCATGATGGCGACGAGAAGAAGGAAGACAAGAAGGAGAAGAAGGAGTCGCGCACGACCAAGATGTTCAAGCGCATGTCTTCATCCATGTCTTCCATGCCCTGGAAGAGCTCGAGCAGCAGCCTGACACTTCCGGAGAACGATATGCGGTCAACATCGTTGTCGTCTCTGCGAGAGCCACCACCTCCTATGCACGTTGGTGACTTGAATGTTCAGTTTCCCGACACTTTGGTAAGTTGTAATATTGTGTATAAACAATTTTGGCTGCATGCTAACTTTACCCCAGCTCTGGAAGCGAAGATGGGTCGAGATCGATTCCATGGGCAATCTTGTCCTTAGCCCGTCAAAGCACAACGAGAAGGGAATCGTTAAGCGTTTCCACCTCAGCGACTTCCGCGCCCCATACCCTCCAGACCAGGACCGACAAGAGTTGCCCAACAGTGTCGTCTTGGACTTTGTTGATGGCCGAACGTTGCAGTGCGCGTGCGAGACACACACGGCGCAAGCCCAGGTTCTGCAAAGTAAGTTTTTTTTTCAAGTTCGATGAGATATGAGACATGCTGACAGCATATAGTCCTCCGTGAAGCGCATGATGCGTGGCTAGCATACAATCAGGCGCAGTAGAGCCCTTGCCCTACAGCACCTACACCCTCATTAGACTTTCTTTTACTCTCTCTTAACCACCTGGATGTAGTAGCCAGCGACTCCTTATTCTCTTTGTCACGACGTACGACTACAGCATCAAGCACCACCCTTCTTTCCTTGTGTTGGATATAAAATGGTTCTACACTGGGGCTGTGTCATTTTCCTTACCTAGTTTCTTCTTCTTTCTCTTCTTCTCTTAGCACATTTTGTAGAGTTTTGTTTTTTTTTCCTTTGCATACCCGTTTAGCGTTTGGGGGGAAAGTCCAGGGGGGGGGGGGGGGGNGGGGGGGGAGGCCATAAGGGCAGGCTTGGAGCATCACCATCATCACCATTGTCACCACCAGCACTGCCGTCTTGTTTTCTTTTCTTCTCCCGTTTCTGGCACAAGGGGACCAATTTGTATAATACTTAATGCTGCACTGGAAGGCAGACTGGCAGACAGCTGCTGGTACTTTTCAGGTCAGGGCGGCACATATAGTCTGAGACGGCTAGAATACAAGAGAGCATTAGTCCTCTTTTGAGCGACTGTGCAGCTGGTGTGCTTTGGTGTGCCATGTGATTGTGTTACCGTGTGCTTGTCGGGTGGCGGCGGGCTGGGCGTGGGCTGGCGGGGCTGGGCGGCCAGGGTGGAGTAAGCGAGGGGGAGTGCCTGGCGTCGTCATACAAGCATCGTGCATTTGATGGATGCGAACATGTGCCAGGACAAGAGGCCAGCAATGGGTCATGATGTCCTGCGCAATAGGGCCTACTCTTGCCCCCGCCTCTCTTCCACCTGCGCTGCTCTGCTACTCGTGCTCTCCGTCTACACACACCTGCTATAGTCTGCGCTCCAAGAGCCGCAGACATCGATCGAAACGCGCCCCATAAACTCCGCACTCCGCATGCACATGTCAAGGAACCGCTGTCGCGATCTCTCCGACACACACACACACACACACCACTCCTCGGCCTCGGGTCCCGCTGCCACAGCGCATCCTGCAGCGGCCACGCGTCAATCGAGCGAATAGCCCTCCCGTTTAAGCTACCACATCCACTCTCCCACCGTGCCTCAGCCTGCCAACAGTATAAATAAGCAGCTCTGCGACCCGCTTGGGGCTCTCCTCGAACCATGCCGACGTCTTCGTCTGTCCACCCTTTTGCCTCTCCCAACGCCATCCCGCCCCGCACGAGCTCCACGGGCATCCTGAACCCTAGCCCCGGCAGCCCCAAGCAGCCGCCCTTGAGAACATCGGTTCTACGCCCCTTGAGCGAGATTGACTGGCTGGGCCAGAGCAAGAAGAGCAAGACAAGCCACTCTGCCGAGCCGCTGAACGCTCATCTACAAGAGCAGCAGACCGCGCCCCACTTGGCCTCCAACAAGCCTCAGGCCGCCACCGACGGCATCGACTCCCACATGGACACCACGACCACAAACCACGATGTCGGCACAAACTACCCTACCCCGCTGTCCCCGCCCTCGGAACACTCTAAAGGCATAGGCGAGGAGCTCATTTACGGAAATGGCGTCGCGTGGACAGAGGAAAAGGAGCGCATATTGCTAGGCCCATACGACTACTTGTACGGACATCCGGGCAAGGACATCCGTAGCCAATGCATAGCGGCTTTCAACCTGTGGCTCAAGGTGCCGCCGGAAAGACTTGACATTATCACAAAAGTGGTGGGAATGTTGCATACCTCGAGTTTGCTGTGTGTGTCTTCGTCAACGTACTTTTCGACTTTGCCGCTAACTTTTGTTCCTTCTCCCCAGTGTCGATGATGTAGAAGACTCGTCTCTCCTCCGCCGTGGTATCCCCGTCGCTCATGCGATATTCGGCACGCCCCAGACCATCAATTCGGCCAACTATGTCTACTTCCGCGCTCTCGCCCTGCTGCTTTCCATGGACAACCCCAAACTCATCGAGATATTCACCGAGGAGCTATTGAATCTGCATCGCGGCCAGGGCATGGATCTCTACTGGCGAGACAGCTTGACGTGTCCTAGCGAAGCAGACTATCTAGAAATGGTTGGCAACAAAACAGGCGGCCTATTCCGCTTAGCCATTAAACTCATGCAAGCAGAGTCTCAAACAGACATGTAAGGGACCCTCCTACCCCTCATTATTATTCCTGTTAACCAACCGTTCCACAGCGACTGCACTCCCCTCGTCTCAACCATCGGCCTCCTCTTCCAAATCCTAGACGACCACCTCAACCTCTCCCCCACATCCGGCTACACGTCCCTCAAGGGCCTCTGCGAAGACCTCACCGAAGGCAAATTCAGCTTCCCTGTCATCCACGCCATTCGCGCTGACCCCTCCAACACCATTCTTATCAATATCCTCAAGCAAAAGACAACGGATGAGGAGGTCAAGAAGTATGCGCTCAGGTACATGGAGAGTAAGGGCAGCTTCGAGTACAGTAAGAGTGTGGTGGCCGAGTTGAGGGCAAAGGTCGAGGAGCATGTGCAGAGAATTGAGAGGATGTTGGGAGAGGAGGGGAGGGAAGGGGCCGAGGCGTTGAGGGTTATGTTGGGGAGGTTGGTGTTGAGGTAAAAGGGGAGGGTTTTATTTTGTGCGATTTTCCAAGGGGGGTGGGGGAATGTAATAGATGTATTTGTTTGCTTGATTGATCTTTGGATGATGATTGATGAATCTTGTTTACAGCCTTGGAATGGTTTTGAGACTTAAAATGGTATACCCAATTTTATTTTATTTTTCAAATGCAATCGTTGTCTCTTTTCAGAGGAAAATGATTTCTTTTCTTTTCCTGACTGGGTACTCATTGTGTTGGAAAGTGAAAATGTGAGAGTTGATCTCCCTGCTGCATACTCGCAGGATGGAAATTTAGAAGAAAGAAAAAAGGGTGACACCATATGCCAAAGTGCCAACAGTGCCATCACAATGTAGACCCCCACCCGTTGCTCCCAGAATGCGAAATATCAAGATGATTTCTTCCCATTGCAAACTCCAAACTCCAAACTCAAAATCCATTTATCCCGCTTGCAAAAAAACAAAAAATTGCACTCAAGACTGCACCTTCTTCGCCTTCTTCACCGACTTCTTAGGCACTGCCAGAATTCTATCCCGATGCGCACCCAAGCACTTTGCAACTTCAGTCTTGAACCGCTCCACCTTTTCCTCATACTCAGACACCGAAGCGTCCGAGCTGCGGCAGCCCCAGTAATCCGACAGCCAGTCGCCACCAAAGGTCAGAACATCGAGAGCCGCATCTGGCTTTCCTTTTGCAGCGCCAACAGCTTCGAGCCAGGGAAAGGCATCGCGGTAGAATTGGATTGCTCCGTCGCACGGGGCGCGGTATCCACCCACTGGCGCGTGGATGTCCAACGAGGTGAGATTGGTGGCCCAGGCGAGGGCGGTAAAGCATGCGTTGTTGTAGACTTTCATTGCGCGGGTATAGTGCCAGCCTAGGATGCGGATTTTCCTGAGGTGCTGGGCACGCACAGGGCCAAGGTTGATGAGGAAGCTGTAGAGGGCGAGGCTGTCGGCGAAGATGAGTTGGTTGCCGTACAAAATGTCGATACCCTCATTGTAGATTTGCTTGTTCACGGCGAGTAGTGATGGAACGAGAGGAATGTGGTCTCCATTTGCATTGTCGATTGCCTGTTGGGACATTGGGGAGTAGATTCGGCCACCGGCGTTTAGTAAGTATTCTGCTGATATGCGGGCGGCGACGCGGCGCATTTTCCGGTATGTACCGACAAAGTTGATGCCGGATGGTTCGTAGAGCACATAATCATAGATGGTATTCCGGATCTCCGCAGGAAGGTCCAAGAAGGGAAAGATCTTGCGCTTTGGAAGTGGTTTGGTTGTTTGGGCTTTGGGCTTCTGGTAAAGCTCCGTTAGTATGTGCCACTCTCGTACACGCAGCAGTGCATCGCACCTTTGCTTGAGGGCTCTCAAAATCAGACTCCGTGTCTGAGTATTCCAAGTCGTCAAGATGGTATGAGACTTGAGTCCTCTTGCGCTTTGAGTAGCGACCAGACGCAAATGTCTCTGTACAAGCTGTGGCGTCAGACATGATAAATCGGGTCGAGATTTTAAACGAATTAGTCTTAGAGAATTTGAGATGCAATTGATTGAAGTTGGAAACGGAAATGTGCCTTTGTGTTGCTTTAATAGAATCACTGTGGTGAGTATCAGAGAGTCAGGCGCAGTCTGCTTTGGGACTAGTGTAGGCTGCAATGTGCAAACGCAGGGATCAGCAAGGCATCAACTCGACAGCGCAGGCACCGCGTGGTACTCGGTGGAGGTGGAAATTGCACAGCCTTGCCCCAGCTTTACATGGAGTAAATGTTTGATGTCTGGTGGCGAAGCTCAAAGTGAAGGCGAGGAAAGAGGAGGCAGGGTCAAGTTGCAATGGCGTCACTCCGCGCGCTTAGTCAAGCACCCCACTAACCGGAAGGAGAGGGCAAATTATCATTCACCATCACTAGCAAAATGTCTTCAATACGGTCGCTCACGTCTTTTAAGCTCGATTTACCTCCCAGCTGCATCGAATTCTTTCCGCTCAACCCGCAGTATGCAGTAGTCGGCACGTACAATCTTGAAAAGTCCGAAGAGAAGGATGCCGCAGGGAGCGCTCCCCACGATGGAAAAGTCAGTGCCAAAAATCAGCAGCGCAATGGCAGCTTGATATTGGTAAAGGTGGACGGCGACAACGTGTATGTAGAACACAATGATCCTCAGTTTTCAAGCTCCCTAGGTAGTAATGTTCACGTGCTGACTCCCGAAGCAACATTATTCAAACTCTCGCCACGCCATCAGCCATCCTAGACATTCACTTCTTGACGCACGTCACCAGCTCAAACTTTGGTGTTGCAACTTCAACAGGAGCTTTTGCCATCTACGAGCTTCAGTCGTGGCAGCGAAACCCCAGCATCAGCCACATTAAGACTATTCAGTATTTCCCTGAAGATGTACTCATCACCGCCTTTTCATGGCATCCAGAGTCCTTTATGGTCGGCATGACTCTCTCAAACGGGCAGGTTTGTCTTGGTGTAATCGACACAGAAAGCGAAGACGACTCTCCTACTAAGCTGGAGGTTGCTACGCATGATTTGGAAGCTTGGACTCTGGCGTTCCTTCCTGATGGCTCTGGACTACTCTCTGGAGGTGACGACAGCACGCTGCGTTTTGCTGAACTTTCTGATGGCTCCGGAGGTAGTGTACCTTGGATGGATGGGAAGATCCATGGTGCGGGTGTTACTGCTATTCTTCCCGTACACCTGGATACCCAGGGCCTACTCGTTATTACTGGCAGCTACGATGATCACCTGAGACTTGTTCATGTCCCAATTTCTGGACGCAGGCAGGTTCTTGCAGAGACAAATCTTGGAGGTGGAGTTTGGCGGCTCAAGCTACTTGATCGAAACCCGAAGTTGCCAGAGCATCATGGTGTGGAGAAGTGGAGGTCGGAGCCACCTCCTGAGGCTATCCTCTTGCTTGTCAGCTGCATGCATGCTGGTACGAGGATTGTTAGGCTCACCAAGAGTGCTGGAGAGTGGAAAATCGAGGTACTGGCGAAGTTTGAGGAGCATGAGAGCATGAACTACGGTACCGACTCCCAGCCTGGGCTAAATAGCCAAGGCCAGCGGACATATATATCCACGAGCTTCTATGATCGTTTGCTGTGCTTGTGGAGATACTAGGTAGATAGTACATGAATGTATTGAATAGGACTTCAAAATAAGAAGAGGTAAATAAAGATCCCAATAACATTGTTATGCAAACTAAACTAAGCAAAAATGAAGAAAAAAATATGAATAGCTCCTTATCTAGAGACTATCCCAATCATCATTCCAACTAATATTCGTAAGGTCATAGTTATACAAATCCAAATTGTCCATGTCCAAGTCACTAACACCAGCAGGGCCCAGCCCCATGCCGTTTTGGCCCATCCCCTCCATCTTGGCATCATTGCCCTCGAGGTTATTCATGTCGACATTTTGAAGAAGAGAAGCGTCGGGGATGTGACCTTCCCCGTTTGTGAAACTGGTGTTTCCGGAGAGAGTTGTTTCGTAAGTGTTGGATCGCGTTCTTGCGTCCTCGTCGATCCATGTCTGAGGCTCCGCCTCCTGTACGAAGGAGGGAGCAGGAATCTGGCTTGGGCCCGCCACAACGGGCTGGGCCACCGCTTGTTGCGGGATTTGCTGCGCAAGCGCAGGCTGGGGTTGGGAGAGGGGGTGGTGGTGGAGGAGGGAGCGGTATGCTTCTGGAACTGGCGGCACCACTTCGACGACACCGTTTTCGAAAACGCGAATATGCTCGCGAGAGAGATCGAGTACGGTTGTTGAAACCGCTTGGTACCCAACATTGTTGGGCCCGTTTTCGACAACGGTCAGCTTGTTGAGCTGGTATGTCGAAAATATGGCGCCGTGTTGGTTGACATCGTCGCCGAGGTAGCTGAAGCCAACTTGTTGTGGCATGACAGGTTGGTACGTCGGAGCTCCGTTGTAGTAGAGCTCTTGAATTGTCATCGGCCATCTAGTCTGGTCGATTGATGCGTATGGCACCCACACGAAGCCGAAAGGCAGTTGCTGCTCCTCGTCCGAAACTTCTTGTTGCGTCCAACTCGTACCGTTGGACACGATTTTGATGTGGCTACCGCTTTTAGTGCGGTAGTGACCGGGGGTAGGCTGCTGGTTGGAGTTTTTCATTAGGGCCTGATAGGCCTCGAATTTTTCATTAAGGAACTTGGCCTTCTCCAGCTCCGCCTGCATCTGGTTCCTGTGCGAGATGGTTTGGTTCTTCATCTTGGAGTATTTGGAGACCATTTTGGATAGCTTGTAAAGGGGGGTTCCACTTGGTCTTTGGCTTGGTGATGTTGGTATGAGAGGGTTGTGGTGGTGTTTGGCTTGATGAGAGTGCTTGTGTGATGGTACTGTCAGATGAAGAGATGGGGAGTTTAGGAGAGAAGTCCCCTTCCTTTATACTTACAAGAACACACAGATGATTACACGTTTCGAAAATACCTAATATAGAACTACGACTCATCGCTATAATGATCCAGTAACATGTAATCACTTAGCATATCATGCCCAAAAGCCGCCATTCCAGAAATAATGGGAATCAACGACATTGGCTGTTGTAAAATAGCACATGCGTTGGCAGGAAAGTACAGGTAACATCTTAGAATGTCAGAGCAATCAGCTACTCTTCATGTGACATTTACTTGACGGACCTTGGTTTCTCATGTCAGAAAATCGCTCAAGAAGAGCAGCCAGACTTCTATCGCATCAAATCATCGTGTGCTCCATTGCCAGCAGATAGCATGTTCGGGAATGGCCGCTTCACGATGGTGCTGATGACTCAATAGGGGGAAGTTGGCGAGTAATCGGCGCTGAAATCACGAAATAAATATCGCTCTCAATTGAAGAAGGGGAAACGACAACTATAAACAGAAGACAAACGAAATTGTGGACGAAATATACGCCAATCGATATGTTTCAGTGCCGGACAGAAGACATATTTGCTATGCGTACTGGCTATCAGATGTTACACAGCCATCGTGATGTTAGGGAATCACGGTCCTCCCGGTGCTTGCCTGGAAACAAGGGGTTGTACCAAGGTTAAAGGTCATAAAACAAGGCCAGGAGATTTTGGTCCTTGATTGTATCAATGAGGAACATGGAAATGAGGACGTCACATGCTCATACTGATTGAGAAAGAAAGAAAAACGTGTCAACAAATAGACGATTTTGCAGGTTTGTAAGTGTATCGGGATATCGATAATATCATAGGCGAATGCGGGATGCGTGGTAACGAGCGAACTATCTTTATCGTATTTGAAAACAAAATGTATTCCATGCGATTACAATCTAAATATTCTAAAAAAATGTATATGCCCGGGGCCCAACGCTATGCTGAGATGCAAAATATCAAAGAAAAACCTGGGTATCGTAACACGTAACGCAATGCTGGAAATGACAACAAAATACCGCAAGCTCCTCATCTTTTCGCAGGCAGCGACAACATCCCATCTGGAGGCGCTTCAACCCTCCTGTCATCCTTCTCAGCCAGTAACGCCTTGACCCTCTCAACTCTACTGACGGCTTTCTCCAGGCGATCGAGCCGCCCCATCTTCTCTCTATCCCTACGCTCCAGCGTCTCGATCCGCTCTTCCAGCTTCGCTCTTGCTCGTCGCTCTTCAGCCACCATCTCATTCGCTTGGCTAAACAGCTGCACGCTAAGCTCTTCAATCTCCGTATCTACCGTCTGCACGCGCGCCTCAGCTTTTGCACGAAGGGCCCGCTCACGCTCGAGCTCGTTGATCAGCGCGTGGTCGTCTTTCGGCGGGGGTGGCGGGGGCATGGCTCCTGTATTCGCTGGAGAAGGGAAGCGGTTTGTGATGAAAGAAAAGCGCGAAGCCCTTGTCGAGTTTGCGGTGGTGGGACGTGGGGGATCGGCATCGACGGAGGGGCGCGGTAGGGCGCCGTTGAAGGTCTTATCCGATTGCGAGGTTTGTGAGCGGAGTGGGCTGGGAGCACGCTGGCTATCTTTCAGAACGCGTATTTGGTCCTCGTAATCCGCACATCTATCGACTGAATGCCTGTTAGTCTATGTATGTGGATTTGTAGGTAGTGCCTGGTCGGCGCATCCTTTGGCACGTACCAGCTGCAGTGGCCTTCTCCTTTAGTCGTTCCATCTGCGCTTCCAGCTCCTCTATCTTTCGCCTTGCTTCTTCGAGCTCTTTCGTATTCAAGCTATAGCCGCATGACGGACAGTTGTGCGTGTGGGTATCGTTTGCGGTGTCTTTGACAGGTTGTGGCGACGCGGGCGGAGAGACTTCGAGGGCTGCTGCCATGATACCAGGCGCGCGAGGTAGGAATTAGGTTTGGCAGTGTTTTTGGTTGACAGCTTCGCGGCAGGTGGACAGAATATAAGGAGAGAGTGGGGTATTTCCTGTCGCGTGGTTGTTACAAAGGACCCTTGTGGTTTCAGCGTCAGCGTGATCACCGAACCCCTGTCACCCACGGCCAATGCAGGGTCCCCCGCGCTAAGGCCATTTACGGTCTGGATGGCTCGGCCCGCGGGGAATATCCCAAGCGTCATACACACTTTAATCGAGCTACAAAAGAATGCCCAGCACTCGCCAGTTGGGAGAAGAGTGATCGCTATGCATTCTGTTTCTCTATTCTATTCAATATATTCTGTGCTGCGAGAATCCTCAGTCCCCGAATCATTTAGTCTAAATATACTTTTACGAGCCATGCAGCTGGGAGGCTAAATATAGATGACGCTTCTCCGGCGCCAAAGTTTCTAAGCAAACCTACTTGAGCCATTCATCCTTATGGTTAGTCGCTGATTGTTTCTATACCCTATTCTATAAGTGTCAATGAGTGAATGGGTTAGAGGCCCTCGTGCAACACGTTCTCGTTGATTTCCCTATGACAGTGATCGTAAGGTTAAACATCATAGCAGGTGGACATTTGCTCATAGATACTCATGCATTGTGCTCCCCTGAAATAATTCTACGTGATATGCGCTCCCATAGCGGATGGCATTACCAAAAACAAGCCCTTAGCTTACACACACTGACAAGCCGAACCTCGTGACAGTAGTATCTGACACTCCTGTTATAGGCTATGATTGTCCCTTATAGATAATGGTCCTTCACTTGGCGTTTCATGGTATAAAGATCTGATGAATCTTTTCTAAATTCAGGCACAAGATAACCGACCCTAAAGTTTGACCTGGATTACATGCGAATAGAGACAAGCCTTGGAGCGAACTTAAACGAACGACGGTACGCGAAAGTTTTTCTAAGAAATAGATGACTGCACCTCATAGTATGGAGTTGACGTTTCATCATTTGCGTATACGTCAACTCCAATCATCCCAACTTTAACGTTTGATGGAGAATATGGCCTAGGAACTATCGGCCGTCGTTTCATTCTGCTCCAGAGACCCTCGCCAGATGTATTGTATGCCCGATCTGGTACCCGTACGCCATTTTCATTATCGATATAAATTTCGTGTACTACTATACTGTATTTCTGATTTCGTCCTTCGTATCAAGCATACTCAATATACGACTTTCACTTTCTACATCATCATGTTGGCCTTCACGACTCTGTTACCGAACACGACTTGGCTTGCTGCCAATGGTATACTGGGTTACAATATCATAGAATAGCAAAGAGTTCATTTCAGCACCACGTGTTTGGACCCTGCTACTGAGTGTAGAGGGCAGTGTTTTTTTGGAACATGGCTTCGAAATGCTTGCGTAGAGATGGAAGAGCAGCAACCTATATACCCACTGAGAGCTCAGTGCCTGACCAAATGACGAGCTTGATACTCTTCCACGTCGGATTTATAGTCTTTGAAGGGGCGGGGAGCGTTATTACCTTCATAATACCACTCAAAGTCCGTATTTTGTGCGATAAAGTAGCTAAATCGTAGAGAGGTACAAAACCTGCGAAATGATATACTATATGTCGGCGACGATGTTGGACGTGGCCTGGTCTCCTTAGCGTGTACGAATTAGCAAGAAGTTAGATACTCACTTGCATATAAGAGTTTCCGGGTCCTTCCCAATGGATGAAGCACCTCCCTTTTATCGACTTGTTCCAACTCGCCTCAAATGGCGTGGCTCAAAAAGCGGACGTCATTTGAAGGAAAGATTGCAAACGAAGGCCATCAAGATACTCGTCCAAATAAATCCCAAATAGACTTCAGAAAATTTAAAGGCAAGCAGGTAAGCACAAATGGCAAAATTCAGCATGGCCACCCCAAGGAGATTGGTTATCTAAATGATCCAAAAGTAATAGCTATAGTCCAGGATATCATTGGGTTTCGAGATACTAGGGTCCGTGATGTGACGCCCCTGACCTTGTTTTACTATCTTCCCGCGGAGAATGGATGAGGCTATGTCGAATAACTGGATTCTTGTCTATCAGTACAAGCTTCCGCAGTGGCTCAAGTGAGTCTAGCTGAATTGCCGCGACTACGATGAGGAGAAAGTCGGACAGCAGGAACTTCCGCTTATTTTGAATGCAGTAGACAGCCCTTCATATGATGATGAATATAGCGAGTGTGCAGAGTACAATTCCCAAAATCAATACCTCAGGTCCACGGTTGGGCCACTCTGACTGCTCAGTGCCCTCCATTTTAGGTACATTAGATGGAAAAGATGATATCACGAAGAGAATTGTACTCAATGACGCATCGTGCAAGATTGGCGATTTCTCAAGGTCACGTGATATTCTAGGGGCGTTCCGACAGCCTAGATTACTATAGCAACAGAACTAAGCGCTAGGCGCTCAAGTCTAATGGCAAAATTCTCAAAAGCTTCAGCTTATTCGGGGTTCCTGTCTCGATATTCTCCCACAAGATCAGCCGTAAAGAAATCGTAGCACTGATGATTACAGGTCATCACATCGCCAACGCGAGCAATAGGGATTCCTGAATACGAATGCCAAATGAGACTCATAACCGTCGTCTCATCCCTCCTGTCGGTTCTTAACTGAAAAACTCGCTCCTCAAAATGCTACTCCTCATACAATGGCAACAAAGGAACGCGGGATTTTATTTCGTGCAATGAAGTTTTGCGCATTTTTCCAGGCGTTCGTTTACAGCCTCTGAGGAATTCTGTATCATCCGACCAAGTCAGAAATATATACAAGTCTGCATTTTTTGGCCTGGTCTAGTTCTCATAAAGTCGTTGTTGCCGCATGCATGTGTGGCTATCGACAACACAGGCAATCATTTGTTTAGCCTCGAAGGATTTAAGATGGTAACTCGTTACCTAGATGTCCCGAGAAGTTCTTGTTTGCAGTAAGTGCTGGGGTTCGATTGTTGACTTGTACCTTTTTGGAATGTTCCTGAAATCCTGTCCTCTCTTGAATTTATAAGACAAGATATGCGATTTCCTTGTTGTTCGAAATGCCGACACGTGTAGAGCAATGAGAGTTCCGAAGAAAGATGAGTTGCTCTTCAAGAGCCCTTGTTGCGATGCAATCGAGCTCGAGGCGAGAAATTGTGATTCCTCGTTCAAAGTCGCATAACACCATATCCAATTGGACCAGAGGATCAAACAATAGTGACTGAGTGGCGAATATTCAGGACCACCACGAACCGAGCCGTTCCCCACTTTGCGACAGGGGCAGAAGTGCGGAGATCCGTCAGATAGGTAGGGGAACAACTGACACTTTGCCAAACACGAGCTACCGCTGGTAACGACCAAAAAAAAAAAGAAAAAGCAGATAGGCCCGCAGAAACGCGGGGTGCCTGGTGATGCAGAAACAATATCTCCATGTACCGGTGTTCCGGTAATGGATACGAAGGGTTCACCACGTTATGTGGGCCTCTTGTGGCCTGTGTCACAACCTCGGACAGTATTCGGCCTGAAATAGGAAGGAGCATCCAATAAGCCACCATGCCGCTTTGCTATACCACTAATTTTACGTCCGTATTCCTTCTGTCCTACTTGCGGCGTAGCGTCAAGGATGACATTTCGTGAAAAGTCGTTTTGCGACGCGCATTTTTAGGTTTCATCTAATGCCATCTCCCAACTACATCATATGGGTCCTCGGCATCCATCATGCAGGGTGAACGGCACTGCAGCAGCTGCGGACGAAAGACCTTCCTCAATTGAGAGAGACCTGCGTCGATTAATATGGATATAGATTTCTGGTGGCGCTGCGACCGAACAGCTCAATCGGTAAGTGGGGCAACGGTGCCTTCATTTTAAATATCTGGATGCCTGGCACCAATGAAAAGACTCATGCCTCGTGCGGGTGTGTCTTTCGCTTCACCTGCGTTTCTTCGTTTCTTTTCGCAATGTTTCCACGCGCGACCGTAGCAGTTGTCGCGCTGCTGGGCGCCGCCACGGCTTGGCCCAGTCAACATGATCAACTACACAAACGTGCGGAGAAATACGACTATGTGATTGTGGGAGGTGGTGTATCTGGTCTTGTGGTCGCAAATCGGCTCTCTGAAGACAAGAAGAGTGAGTCCCATCGTGTTCGGTTGTTTCTACGAGTCACTTGAAGCTAGTGGTCATCTGCTTAGTAGTAACATTGACCTCTCGAGCAACGAGTCAAACATTGGCCGACGCTAATTCATCTAAAGAGACCGTTCTAGTCATTGAGGCTGGTCGCGCCGATGATAACCCAGACATCCGTCTACCTTATGCTGCGACTTATGCAGGGAACAATAGTCTTTTCTGGAACATCCCTGCAGAACCCGATCCATTTCTTGCGAACCTCACCTACAAAGGCCTGGCCGCGAAGGTACTTGGCGGTGGTTCGATAGTCAATGGAATGATGTATGATCGAGCTGCTGCAGCTGATTATGACGCTTGGGAGGCGCTGGGAAACAAGAACTGGGGCTGGAATGGTATCTACCCTTATTTCAAGAAGGGAACCAAGTTCATTCCCCCGCCACCGGAAACCATTAAGGAATTCGGAATTACTTGGGACCCTGAGGCGTAAGTCAAGGCTCGCTTTCTCCTCCAGAAGTTTGCTAATCATGGCCTTCCAGTTATGGTGACGGACCTTTGAAGCTTGGTATTTCTGACTTCCAGTTCCCTGATATCAACGAGTATTTCAAAGCCTTCAAGGGAGCAGGTGCACACATGCCTGTCGATGGCAACAACGGGGAGGGTTATGGAGCGTCATGGTGGCCCAACACAATGAACCCCGAAGTCGGCGAAAGGTCACATGCTCGCAACTCTTACTACGATCCTGTTTCCGACAGACCAAATCTCAAAGTTCTTTTGGAGACGACTGTCGATGAACTGGTGTTTTATGATAGCCAGAAGCTCGAAGTAAAGGGCGTCAAGATCACTAACTCGAAGACGAAGACATCAACAATAGTGCATGCTAAAAAAGAGGTGATTCTAGCAGCAGGTGCGTTGGGCACTCCGAGACTTCTTCAGCTGAGTGGCATCGGTCCACGGTCCGTGCTTGAAGCTGCTGGTATTCAAGTAAAACTTGAGCACGATGGTGTTGGGACGAACTTCCAAGACCACCCTTACATGGGTCTTGCATTCAACTTGTCCAACATGAGCACACCAAACCCAACTTCCTGGAGTGATCCAAAATTCAACGCTTCTGCATGGGAGGAGTACCGTGCCAACAGGACTGGCCCCCTCACCCAAGCTCGAGGCAACGCCTTGGCATTCATCCCGCTTCCTGAAGTCGACCCTGAGAGGTACCAAAGCCTTGCAAGTCAATTGAAGAGCCAAGAGGATTGCTCGCACTTGCCGTCAATTTACAAGAACAGCAAAAAGCTGCTCAAGGGTGTCCGAGCCCAACGCGAGGTGCTCGCTGGTCTATACCAGAACGACAAGGCGGCCATTGCCGAGTACGCAGTTCCAGCAGCAGGCTTCTTTGAGCTTATTGCACTTGAGAAACCGGCCTCCCGTGGAACTGTCATGATTGATCCTGCAAATCCTCAAGGCCCAGCCAGGGTCTTTTACAATACATTGAGCAACCCTCTAGATAAGGCCTTGCTTGCGTCATCCATTCGTTACATACGCCGGGTATTCGCTCGTCCAGAGCTTAAGCGGTTCTCCCTTGTCGAGACCTCACCAGGTGCAAAGTACACCACCGACGACGAGATCATTAATGTTTTGGTTAAGACGGGTGCTATCAGTCCATCATTGGCACATCCTTCTTGCAGTTGCCCTATGATGCCGGAAGACATGGGTGGCTGCGTGTCGGACGAGCTTTCCTTCTACGGAGTCAAGCACCTGTCCATTGTCGATGCATCCATCATGCCTCTAATTCCCTCGCAACATCTCCAAGCGACTGTGTATGCTGTTGCCGAGAAGGCTGCTGACATCATCAAGAACAGGGGCTAAGGTGATGTCGTTGGTTTTTTGGGCATTCACTATATGTATGAAGAAAGAGGCAGCTTAGTAAACAGAGTGCTGTGTAAGCAACAGACTCCCAAATATAGGTTTGTTACCTCTATGCTTCATCGTACTCCACTTGTGGATTTGGCGTCCTTTCTCGTTCAGTTGATGCTTCTCATGGCCAGAAGCCATGCGACGGTGTTTTAGTAAGAACATGTCAGGCCGATCTGGGAAAAGAGCCCAAAGCAGCAGGCGCGCTAGCCTAGCGCGTGACATCCTGGGAACCCAACTTCCACTCACTTTCCCGGCTGACATTCACGCTAATCCTTCATCACTCTTATCTCTATTCATCTGCCTGTATGCATGCAATCAGCTCGCCCCAGACATCAGCATCGTTGGCTGTCGCTTTCGCATTTATCTATTGCGACATTCGGATGGCGTCTCACCCCCTCGCTGTAGCTTCCCCAACCGTGGAAGGTGGCCTTTCTCGGCGTTTTCGGCTTGGATGCTCTCACAAATCTTAGGGCTTATGATGCTCATGCCAACAAATGTTTCACGAAGCGATCAAGACAGATTGATTATTCCAAGCATACTGATAATTACAGAAATTAACCCTGCGCTAGGTTAGCTCCGCTTCTAGTATCCCACTTTTCTCCGCGTATGGAAGATGAGGGGGAGGCTCCGTGCGCGTTTACTTACTTTCGGGCTGTGGATGCGATATTAATTAATTGCAGAGATTTAGGATCAGCCCTGTACGTGCATCCGTGAGCATCACATCCTTTCCAATCTGGGTAAGCTCATCTGCATTCGACAATGAAAGTAGCCAATTGATACGAAGAACAAAATGATGACCGAATGTCAAGATGCAAACAGCGCAATGATCAGATAACGCGTCTCATTAATAACATTAGCGAAAGGTATGCGCTAGCTTTGGTATATCACAAGACTAATAATCACCAACGTCACAACCCCTGCAACAGGCATCATGACAAACACACAACTAATCATGAATGCATCTAAGATGAGGTCCTGACCTGCTCGACGCGGACATGGTCCTCCTTCTCGAAGCCGGTAGTACCCCCGTGCTGCATAATGTCCTCCTCAACCTTGCCCAGGTCAACATGGGCGACCTCAGCCTCATCACCATCGAAGATCTTGGCGACCTCCTCGAGGGTGGGTCCGCGGGTCTCGACGTAGAAAACGGTAACGAAGATGAGTTCGAGGAAGATCCAGCACTGGTTAAAATTAGCAATCATTCTCAAGATAGTCCTGTAGTGGATCAAACTTACAGCGTAGATGGTGTAGAACTTCCAGGTGGGGTGGAGGTACTGGAAACCATAGGGGTTGACGTATTGGTTGATGGTCAGAGCAACTTGGATGAAGAAGTTCATGATCATGAGACCCTTGGCACGAATCTTGAATGGCAAGATCTCGACAGTGTAGGCAACGAGCAGACCAGACCAAGCCAGGGCGTAGGCCACGGAGAAGATCCAGATCATGGCAATGACAGCTTGACCAGCAGCCTTGCTCTTAGTAGCCTCTTGCTGCGATGAAGCAATGGTCCAGACAATGAAGGTAACGCACATGGCTGCAGTGGCAGAGATGAAGAGCGGGCGGCGACCGACGCGGTCAACAAGCAGAGCGCAAGAAACGGAGACGATGAGCGAAAGGATGGTAAGACCACCGTTGATACCAAGCTGGGTGTCAGCATCCTTGATACCGATAGAGTCGTAGACATCAGTAGCGTAGTAGGAGACGAGACCGTTGCCAGACCACTGGGAGAAGAGACCGAGAGATGCGAGGAGCATGAGCCTGTACCTGTTGCCCTTGGTCTTGAAGAAGTCGAGGTAGCTGGAGCTCTTCTGGTACTGGAACTCGAGACGGAGAGTCTCCTTGATCTCAGCATATTCGAACTGGACAGTCGCGTTGTCAGCATCACCGTTGGCATGGTACTTGGCGAGGATGTGCAGAGCCTCCTCATTCCTCTCCTTGGAAATCAACCAACGTGGAGACTCAGGAATGAACCAGATGGCAGCCAGCTGGATGACAGAGGGAGCAGCCTGGGAGAGAGCCGGGACACGCCAGCACCAGTCGTTGTTGATGCGCTTGGTACCGAAGGTCAACCAGGTGCAGATGATGGCACCAACGTTCCACAAGCAGTTGTAGACGGCAGTAACACGAGCACGGTGCTGAGGGTGGCAAAGCTCGGTGAGGAGGAGAGGCGAAGAAAGCTGGGCCAGAGAGTTACCGAAACCCATAAGGAAACGTCCACCCATGAAGTAGTCGAGGTTCTGGGCGGCACCCTGGATAGCGGCCGCAGCAATCATGATAACACATCCAATGGTGATGCATGATCGACGTCCAAAACGATCGGCAACGAAAGGAGCAATGGGCAGCGAGGCGATGGAACCGATGGCGTAAAGGGCAGTAAGAAGACCAAGAGTGTCACCCTTGGGGTCGTTGAAGTAGTCAGTCCAGATTGGGAGGATACGCAAGTTATTCAACATGGAACTAAAAACGGTCAGTGAACTGCTGATGGAAACGCTAACGGATTGTGCTTACCCATCGTAACCCGTGGTCGCAGAAGCGATACAGATGAAGAAGGCGTAGAAGTACAGCTTGCGCAGTCCAGGATCCGACCTCCAGTTAACTCTCTTGAGATGGGGAGCTTCGGCCTGAGCAGCCTCAACGTCGGCCTTGCTCTTGGCCACGGCGCCAATCTTTGGCGTAAAAGCGAGACCCATGATGTCCAATAGACCTCGTCCGAAGGTTGTTGGTAGAACGGAAGCAACGAGGGAACAAGGGCAGGTTTGGTTTGAGACGCTCAACCAAACACGGTCCTGTACAGCAGCGAATGTAAGCTGTTGAGTTGTCGGGGTGGGCTGATTGCAGCTGAACCTGGAAAAGAAGGTTATGGTCGGTGGACCATATATATGTCTCCTGGTCGGGGAGTGACCATCGCGTGTGGGACCCAGGCTCGAGAACTACGGCGGTCTAGCGGACCGGGTAAATGCGTCTGCGTCTAGAGAGTCGTGTGGTACTTTCGCGGATGAACCGCCGTATGGGGTAGAGTGGGCGGCAAATCGACCAAAGCGGTGGCCACAAGGGTGCCATGGCCTAGCCGTGGGAGCAGCCTCGGCATGCGGGACGAGCAGCCGTCAAGGAAACCAAGCAACAGACGAGCCTGGTCTTGTTGCGTCTTGTCTAGCCATGTCTGGCCACGGTATTTGTTGGCTTCTGGCCAAGTTGGGTTGGCAGACGCGGCTGCATAGCATGGCACCAAGGCCCGTAAGCCAAGGCCCGTGAGCCCGGCGTACGTACCTGGCGAAGCTCATGAACAAGCATTGAACGGCCTTACTTCCGGCGCAGCTTTGGCACAACAATTCCACCAACCTTCTCGAAGGCGGTGATCAGCTGTCAGAAAGGCGCAGGCTACGGTTGAATAGATTAACCTGCCTCTAGCCCCTTACTCTAAGCTCGACTTCTCCAGCGACTGAGAACGTGGGCCTGGCAGGAATTTCCCCAGGGCTGCCCCACTGGGATTAGGCGGAGGCATACAATGCACGCGGAGCCGAGGTCAAGGGCAGTTAATTGGCGGTAAGGAAAGCAAGGCGGCCCGTGTGGTGGGTTGCCCGAGTCACGTGATAGGAACACAAGCGCCAACGGCGAGGAACCGTCATTCATGGGTCGCGAACCCGTCCATCGGGCCGCCCTGCTTGGAAGTACTCTAAAGTACTATCTATGCAACCTCCGCGGCCCCTCCACACCTTGCCTTCAAACACTCCGCTTATCTTTCGCACCATCAGCGCCTCGCACCGTCCCCAGAAATCTTTCCCCATGGGCACGTCTTTAGTCGTCAAGGATATCCGGGGAAGTCTCACGACATGCCTTGCCATGCCACCTGTCTACTTATTTCCCTCCACCCCCATACCAACAGCCGTGTCATTTGATAGTGCATTCTGCACTCTCCAGATCCTTGATTAGCGCTCTTCCACTAATTGTTTCCCAAAAACCCTGCACGCGGGAGCCCTCGCTTATGGCTGGGCGCATTCTGGGCAGCACCGCCAACGGGTGGCTGGCATCTTTCTCCATGGCAGCTCTCCATGGCCCAACGCCCGTGCAGCCATCAGGCAAATGGCATTGAGGCGTTCCGCCGTGCCACTTCATACCGGTTGAATGGCAGCAAATATTGCGTGTGTTGCCCACAACTCAATCTGGCCCCGACTGAACTATCAGCCCCGTCAATGGATCCTCTGGCCGCTGTGCCCTTCCCTCAGAAATCCTGCCTAGAGTTCACATGCGCCGCGGCTGATGCGGCAGTTGCTTATGCATTGCTTGTCTTGCACTTGTTCGTATCCAGAATGCGGAATGAGTAGTCTTGGTTGGTGAACCTGCCCTATCGCCTACCCTGTCCTCCCACCACATCGCCAATCTCAGCCTCTCCATTGGCACTCTCGACCGTCGAGTAATCAATTCTGGCTGCATCCACACCTAGCTGCATCCGATGCGCTGTTGGTGTGCTGGAGGAGGCCTGATAATTTCGCGCAGTGGCTTGCCTTTGTCTTGGAGACCCATCAGCATCACGAGGTGCACATGGTACCGTGTCCGGTTCCCCAAGCAAAATTGCGGCGAGGGAATACTGAGTACCCACAGCGGCCCTCCGTGATCCACAAAACAAGTCTCCACGTTTTCACGCCGAAATCGCTTAGCAACTACCAAGCTTGGAAAATTCGTTGTGGAGTGAGCGTTCGTGCTCTCACCATCCCTACCATACGCAACCAGTCATTGAGGCACCTACGCACCAGATTTCTTGATTAGTGGTTCTAACACAGCCAATGAGTAATGGTGCGACGTTGGACATAAGATTCATGAAGCTCTAACCAAGGTCTTGTCCCGCATGCCCGCGTCTAAGCTTCGCAAGGGCTACGCCACGAGAAAGCACATTATCCTGGAGCCCCGCCACCGGGGTATTAGGCTAAATTGCTACAAATCGCGGCATCACCTGACCGAATTGGTGGCTGTTCCAGAAGTGCCTCAGCTACTGTTTTCCTCAAATAAACAAGAATTGGATGGCGAATTTTTTTATAGATCTACGTGTGATCGCTCGTGGCGCCACAGTCAACGCAGTATCACACCAAGTGATGAGTCTAGCGGCGCAGCATCGGCTCTACTAGTATTGAAACTTTATCCCCATTTTCTGACGATCACGCGAACCGGGACAGTTGGTATCAAATATTTAACATTTGACAGGTTTCTCTGCAAGTGTGATTGACTTTCCAGATTAGGCTGACATGGAAACTCCCGATTCTTGAATCTTCATAACCATCTACAGTATTGCTGTCTACTCAAGCGACCTCTGGATTTCCATTACCATCGTAAGGTCGCGAAATGGCGACTTTGAGAAGCCAGACCTGCTTTTCGTTACCTATGTCTAAAGAGGAACAAACGTATATCGCGGCTATCTTTTTCCCTCATTTCACGCATGCATAGGGTCGATCGGGCCAGGCAAGATGCCGTACGAACCGAATATATGCCTTTACGTGGCGATCCTTCTGGTACAACAGAGCAGAATCGTCATTATCCTGAAAGAGGCTTCGCCAGATCCTGTCATAGGTGTAGAGCAGTCGCGGTTAGCAACATGTAATCATCAGCCAAGACATGCCTTCCGTTTAGTACGATTTGCTATCACTTAATAGTCGATGACTAGGGTTGATGACTAGGGCGCCACAATATTGAGAAGTACTCGCCACTGACATGTGAGCGTTCGGACCACAGCGATCGTAAATATGTTTTCAGATCATATCTAATTGCACAGAAGTAAAAAGAAGCAATAACTCCAAACTCGAACATGTTAACATCGTGTGCTCGCGGATGGACCATGATAGTTCCTAGAACAACGCACTCTCCTAATGTCCTGGTCCAGCACTAGTGATAAATGTGAGTTCGTTCTTACAGCGTATGACAACAAAGCTTTGCTATCCGGTCAATTTTCGTAACCTGATCATCTCTCACCTCCACGAATACACACCATGCTCTCATAAATACTACAGATGTTGTAGAGTTATTCACAACAATGATGCGAAACAGTCTTTGAGAATAAATCAGAATAATATTACTTACCTTTCTAAACAATAGGACGTAGGCTCAGAGTAACAAAGCACTTCATAGCCCAGTTTCGACAAAGATACCTCGACTATTTTACCGCCACACCGACGGAATCCTTGACATCACTTCCGTCCCATCGCCACCTGGTATTTCTCCATGACGGTTTCTTGGACGCCCGCAAAGTTTCACATTTTTGAAGCATCGTGTGCTGCAGTGTTACCGAGATAGTGAGTAGGCGAGGGCCAGGCTAGATTCTCAATTTCTTAGTTCCAATCTGGCTATCGCAATCAGAATGCGAACTTTGAGACGTGTGAGAAATGTCGGGCTGGGTAGGTTTTGATCGTGGAAGAAGTTATAGCAGTGATAAGGGAGGTAGAGCAGCTGATATTTGCCCGTATCTCGTGAGGGAAGGTATTTTCCTAAGAATTTGAAAGATTGACGTGCTGGATACGGCGATGCAGGCGTGTTTTTGCGTTAGTTAATAGATCTTAGAAAGATATTGTATTTTTGATGTATTGAAAATATATTTGTAGCCTTCAAAAGAGGTTGTAGTCTACTCTCCCACCCATTCTTTTCGAAGCTGCGGCGAACTCCTGTTCAAAATATAAAGGCTTGGTGACGGGCTTTCTTTTGGACGCAAATCCAACAGACTTGAGGCGGGCATACTGTTACAGCAAACCTACGTGAGACTTGAGCCATAGACTGGTATGCCACCAGGGTCGCTGCTAGCTTTGGCACCCAGTTATCGCCCGTCCGAACGACGAACATGCCTTTTGGAACATCAAGTAACTCGTTCCAAGTGTCCACTGCCGTAATGTTTTGGCCCGGGGTTGAGTTCATTTTGTGTTGACATGGGCCCTGATGGTGGAGCCTATGCACTGGTTCAAATGGTTCCTCATTATCTTCATCATCATCGTCATCATCACCTTCTTCTTTTTCATCGCCACCATCGGCATCTGTGGAATCTCCCTCATCGAATATATATTCTCTTACATTGTCATAATATGTTGAAACTTCCTCGTATCTCTCACACTTAATCAGAGGCGAGGGGTCTACATCAGCAACCCATTCACCTTTATCTTGAACGGAGATGACAGACTCGAGGAAGTATATCTGACTGTCATATGCTCCTCGCAGTCCATCGAAGTGAGGGACACGGTAATCGGTAAATGACAGATGCATAGACGTATTTTCGAAAGAACGAGAGGTAGTACCGTCAAAATTAGCATAGGATCCGATTCTCCAACTTCCGGCGTCAATCTCTCGCATTATAGGTTGCTGTGGAGGTAGGAGAAAGTTGAGTCCTGGTTTGCCGATGTTTCCAAGAATTCTCTGGTAATGGGGAGTTTGTCCAGGCAGTAAAGTCTTATATGGATCCTGAATCAACTGAAATCTTAGCGAATTTTTGCGACTATAGGAGATAACTTACAGCACTGCAGACAAATATGGAGTCTGTATAAGAAAACGCTATAACACCCTTGAGAACCCTAGGGTCAATATCGTGAATTCCAGTCTCCAAGTACGATATCATCGAGACCACATCTTCATGCTCCAAATTGCCAGCTATAACGCTCATGCCCCAAGCTGTGTCTTTCAAGGGGCGCATAAGAACGCCGGTATGAATAGTTGCATTGGGAATATTATCATAAACGCAGGCAATAGCAGCAATAGTGTATAGCGTTGGCACGACACCAGATTCCCTGATCATAGCACCGTAACTTACCGCCACCAAAACCATATCAGGGCCGAAGAGGTCATGATCCAAACACCAATTCCAATCTTCAATAGTAGGTTTATAGTTGAAGAAATCCGAGTGGACAGGAAGAACCCGAGAAAATAAAGCTGTTGTCCCTGAGACAGCAAAAACAGGACGGTAAATGTACTTTGCAGGACTATGGGTTGTGATGATCTGAAGGCCATCTTCCCAGCATTCGAAAATTTCGGTAGCATCCAGAGTGCTAGTCTCGTTACTTGGAACAGGAATATCATGGGCATCTGCAGGCAACCACCTGTGATGAGGTGCATTACCATTCCCTTCTTGAAGCTCAGGTACTAACGCTGTCACCATCATATATCTTGAGTACAGTGAAGGCAGCAGATGGGAGGATAAGTCACTTCTTTCAGGTTCTGAGAGCTTTTGCCGTATGATAAAGTCATCGGGGGGCGTGTTCTTGTCGCTAAGACGTCTTGCTACATACCGGAGATAAGAAATTACCGATTCGGTGTCCTTGAGAGCTAAAAAGAAGCTGCTCCGATCGAATGAATAGCGAAATGGATTCAACTCCGCGTGAGTGACTTGCCGATTGGTAATAAACTGGTGAGATCTCCTGCGGCCTAGTTGTATCAATTTATGATCCAAACTTTCAGCCGCAATATCGCGTTTGACGTAAGCAGCGGCGCCATCTTTGAGGAATTTGAACATATCCAGATCTCTCTCGCTCAGAAATGGATGAGCATCCATATACTGACTCAAAGATGGAAAATGACGAGCAAATGTTTCGCCATAAGTTTCTTGTAATCTCCATCGTTCGAGCAAGGCCGCAAATACAACAAGCTTGAACTGAGACCATGTCAATCTTGCGTCAGCTTCTAGACCCCTTGTAACATCGACCGGTCGGCCATAGTGGCGTAAATGAGATAGAGATAAGGACCAGCGTACACCACCATCTTCATTTGATGAAATCGGCCGTCTCGATACGCCCAGTGACAATATTCCCCCTTTGGTGACGCATGGATCTTCCATTCTAATATCGATGGGCGCAGAGTTATACAAACTCATATCCGGGTACACATGCCACGCTGATAGACCCAAGAGGGCGGCACCATTCTGAACTGCCTGAGGCTCACCTGAAACAAGCTTGTTCATGGTTTCAAGTGCTATCTTCCAAGTCTCGATAACGCCCGAAGAGACGGCTGAGCCACCAGCTATGGGCAGGTCAAGATTTTTGAGTATCAAGTCGAGTTGCGTTTGTTTCCGGTAGAAAATGTCGTCGGCAGTCTTTAGCCATGATCTGGCACTTGCATCCAGCGAGGCAAGCTGAGGCCGGGATATGTCTTGTCCGACTGCCGCTGCAAGTGCGAACGGGACTGGTTCGCCTTCATCAACCTTGCGGGCAATACTTTTCTTCCTCTCCAAAACTAGCTCGACCCATATAGCGACAGCTTCCGGGGTCGTCCACACACGAGCGAGAAGACAAGCTAGGAGGTGAATGTGTAGAGCACATGTCGAAGATGTAGCAGCGGCCCAAATCGAGGTCCCGTCTATTCCTGTGTATTCCCCGAAGAGTGTGCCCACGAAAGGCTCTGATTTCTCTTTTGCGATGTTTGCGATTTCCGATGCTCTTTTGCCGTATGCTTCCAACAAGGCAGGGGCTGAAGGGCAGACGCCGTCGAAAAGGGCACCAAGTTGTCTCGCTAGCACATGACTTGAGCCAAATTCGGCGTTCTCTTTGCGCTTTTTAGACAGCACATTTCCGAGCGCTTGGTACTCCTTCGGTGCTTCGCATTTGATAAGAGTAAAATCAAAGTTGATGTTTGCCGCCGCCACTGTTACTTCGTTTGTTGCAGACGCTAGCGCAGCCTGGAGCCTACCGATGGCCATTTGAATTATGTTAAATATATACCACAGATAGAGGATAGTTTAGGAGGGGATCTATGAGATAGTTGTTGGTACGAGCTGATTTATAGCCACATGTTGCACTGCCCCTAGGATGCATGCAGCTCGCTTGCATCCTGCCGCCTAGTCGCCACGGAGCACCCTCGCATTGGACAGCAGACACAGCCTTGCCAAGTGTTATGTCGGCATGCGCTGCGTGCGCTGAAGTGGAGTATATATCTCCAACTAACGATACTACATGATAAGCTTGTAGCCTTGTGCATGCCTTTTAGTATAGTAGGTGCCGCGCATAGTTGCGCACGTAGTCTTTTTGACTCACCCCTAGGAGGCTGAGGGTCACTATCGTCCCATTTTAATCTTCTATTTCTAAATTAGTTGGGGAGTCATGACTGCTCTTCTTCCTGAATGGAGGACTCATTTCTGCTGTTACATTGTACATGGTTGCCCATCTCGACAAGACTAATATCGCTTCCAGTAGGGTCCTTCATTGCCGAGCGATAGTAATTCGCCCGGGAATTGGGCTTACTACCAATTGTAGCCACAGAGATTTTACTAAACTGGCCGCTACCACTGCTTGCACTCTTGGAATTATGAGTACCCATGCTGGAGCCCACTTTCTGGAGGAAAGAGCCCATGGACACCATAATACTTCCCAGACCAGATATGCTGAACACAGGTCGTATTTTGAGAAGGCAGCATGCAATGAGAGCGACGTTGGTTTCCACAACAGTCCAGAAAAGGCCATGCGAGGTTATGCCAGTGATGTCGTAAGTGGGCATACCCATGATGTACTGCTGATCGAGGGCAGCAGAGGGTGTGTTCTGCTTGATACAGATAACCATGCGAACAACTGCAGAAGCAACAGCGAATCCTCCAAGTAGGAACACACCACACAACTGGATCTTGCGGATAGTAGGCATTTGTAGGCGCCAGATCTGTTGGAACCGTAGTTAGCAACAAGTCTTCTTTCAGCTACCGCTCATTGAGACTCACCCAAGGAAGTGGCAGAAGTAGAATGCAAAGATCAAAAAATGCATCAAGAACTGTGAACGCGATAGTCGCTTCGAATCCAAAAGGACAATTCTCGGCAATGCTTGCCAGAGAACCCCAGTTGGCAGCGAAGTTCAGACGGCAGTCGAAGATGAACCCGATGAAGAAGGCAATTGTGAAAGCTACAGTGAGGATAACAAAGACCAGAGAAGTCCACTGAAAGCTAGGCCATGTAAATATGCGACGGTAGAGGAAGAGGAAAGCGAGTTTCGTAAAACCAATAGCCAACGGCTGCATAATAAAGATCATGTACACACACTACTATAATTTTAGTCTAGTAAACACGTCAGAAAGGAACAAGGGTACTTACCTTCTCTAAGATTACCAGTTCCGGTGTAGTGCTGTTGATCCAGCCCTCAACGTTGCTAGGGCCATTATGGCCGCCAATGATCCCCTTAGCCGCACCTGAAATGATGATCAGCCAAGAAACCAGCTTGTTCCTGTTGGGGTTGCGTTTTACCATAGATCATAACGGTAGAAACACCGATAGTTGGTAGAAGAGCCAGGAGACAGAAAAAGTCGTCGAGATGCTTGCTGAAACCCGCATCTCTAAATCTGTTCGCCTTGTGTCCTGCTACACCCAGTCGAAGGCTGACGACAATAACAGTCGCGGCTGTGAGGGCGATACCAGTGGCCAAGCACGAAGTAACGTTGATGTATTCGTAACCCATTTTTTCAGGGATTCAGCGACCTGGAGACGGTAGTATGAAACGACTGTAGTGACACTAATAAGTGGTACTCCCTTGGGTTATGTACCACATGGCATTCACAGCTGTGGAAGGCTGGTTTTAGCCCATAATCCAACCCTCACACATACCTATACATTCTAGGGCACACCATCTGAACTTTGGTTGAGAGACCTAGTTGAGACCTAATTGCTTCCAGGTCCATGGGCGCACACAAAGCTGCCCGTTGCAGGCGAAAGTGACGTGCATAGGCCCCTAACACTGAGAAAAGACAGTTAATGAGATGCGGAAGGTCGCCCACACATCGGTCTAGAACCGATACCCGATACTAGTTTCAGGAGGAGGGTTGGTCTTAGATCGCGACAGACTGGAGCCGGACTCAGCTCGACCCATGGTATTGGCACGTCACACTACCTACTAGGGCACGGCCGCAAACCTTAAATATACGCCACTTCGTCAACTCATGCCCCGTGCACGATGTATCGTGCTGACCATGGTGAGTATTTGATTTGCAGGTTTACTGCAATGTCTTCCAATCGCTACCTCTTACAATTGTTATCACCATGTTTACTCGATACAAGCTCCTATCATCAGGCGAAAGTGCTTCGGAACATAGCCCGGATCCTGACTCGACGCACAGGCGACTCTACCGAATGAGAGTAGCACTAACAGTGCTTACAATCGCCAATGTCTGCGTACTAGGCTTGTATATGGCTATCTGGCGCACCACACCCGCCAGCCTTGCTACGCCCAACGCCCCCGATGCACAACCCAGTGGGCTTGCTAGAGTAGAGTCGCTCCCCATCGAGTTCATTCCTTTCTATTGGAATACGCCATGGGGTTCGCCTAACGCGTCGGAAGCTGATCGGCTGTGGGAAAACATCAACACTGCGCACGGTCATATCGCAATAGACCATGAGTTCGCAGCAAAGAACCACGTGAGTTAGCTTGAACCACTTCCCCGGAAACCACGACAGTCTGGGTCAATGGCTAATGATTAACACATTCAAAAGTGGCCTTCCTCCATGGACATACCCGGAAAGCCTGGTAAAGGATTGTATCTCCTACAGGCCTACCATCAACTACACTGCCTCGTACGTCACTCATCTAACTTTGAGTTTTTCATCCTATCAGCAAACTTCTCTAAGCATCTTACTACAGCGTATTGTTCGCGCCGCATATTTAACCCTAAAGCGCCAAGAGCTCCCCATCTTCCCTTCGGATCACGTCCTCCATTGCTTTGACGCCATCCGCCAGCACATCATGTGCCACGCGGACAACACTCCGCTCTATGGTCTTGGCCACGGGATAGCCGGCGACGGACAGCTACACCAATGCCGCGATTGGAACGCGCTTAGGGATTACGCAACAAAGAATACGGCGTGCTTTCGCGATGGCAAGCCTGGTATGAGCTTTGAAGACCGGTTTGGCGTGTGTGATGACGGAACAGATGGCTTAGAAGAGCGTGGACCAGTACTGCCAGTTTCATAATCATCTTAATATCCAAGTAATACATTTTTTCGTACAGTTTCAAGATGCGCGAAACTACATCAAGTTCTATATTGTTACGGTCATTATTCCCATTGCGCCATTTGCCACTGCGTGTGACTACTCTGTTCACGTACATCGTGGCGTTGTCCAGATCTCACTAGCAAAGAAACTCTCAATTGTTGTGTTGTATAAAGTTAACGCTGGTAACGTAACGCAGTACGTCATAGGAAGATATCTTGAGAAGCCGTTAGATCAGGGTCATGAAACTATTCCGGATCTCTAACGGGTTCTCAAAATTTGAATGTCTCTACCCCACTGTGTTATTAACATGGCCGAGTTCGGACTTGAACAGCTAGCCACGATGTATACCATAGAGCAACTGCGCTCTACGCCATGTCTCCAAACATATTTTGTATTTCCAATTATAATGAGGTGGCGAAACAGCTCTTCGAAACAGCTCTTCGCCAAAAAGCTCTTCGCCAAACGAAAGCATCTTTAGATTCTCAGGAGTTATTTTTCTGGGTCTAAGATCTAGGTGGCAATGTCTAGAAATGTAGATAGAGACTGTGGTTGGCTTGGTTCCCCTTATTCTGGAGATTTGTGGATGCCAATACTAACGCTGATTGACTCTGCATGATACGATCGCAGACACGGTGCAGTGGTCAACTAGCTAGCCGCTAGTGCATATCGCGGAGGCGTCTGCAGGGACTCCTATGTACCGGATAATGTGAACGTTTCATGATTCGGAGAAAAAAAACGTGTGCTGGAGACAGTGTTCTGGCCCAAAGCGGATTGGAAAAGTAGGGTGCGGCTGATCGATTCTAGACCCGCCACACAATCCCCCGAAGCTAGTGGATACAAACCGCGCTATAATTCCATGATTCCCTGCATGCGTGTTGAAACCTTCAAAAACTCGTCCGCGACTAGTGCGAACCCCCAATTATGCGGGCGTTTTTGGTCTGAGTGCCCTTTGTATCTATACCTGCTTAAGGATAGTGAGTCTGTGCCAGGGGTTGTAAGCCTCACGAATTTGATATGTTTGGTGCAGAGAGCACAAGGCGTAGAGTTCTTGCAACTAAGGCGTTTCGGAATGCGGGCCGGACACGATTAATTCGCTTCAAGTCAACTATTCACAGGAGAGATGACAACAAAAAATATCCAAAGTCACTTCACTACAAGCTTTCTTCAATGGGTATAAAGCGCCAGCGGATCCCAATCATTCCAGAATCCTCAGGCTCAATCATCACTCCCTCGTTTTCATCAGCGCACTTATATCTAGTTATCTTCGCCATCAACGGCTTCTCTCTCTTCGTATTGTAAATTGTTCAATCACTTCGGATTTTCACAATGCACTTCACTACTCCTCTCTTTCTTCTGGTTGCTAGCGCGACCGCGTCCCCTCTTCTGGGAATCAACATTGGGGGCCTCAGCGTCGGTGTTGCTGTTTCTAGCCGTCTCATTGATTTGAGTTTGGCAACCACGTCTTCTTCTGTTGTTGCTACTTCTACTAAGGCAACGACCACCACTCCAACCAAAACCCCGACCACTACTGGAACCTCTCAATTGACTATGCCTTCGTCTTTCTCTGCCCCGGTTCAGGGCCAAGGCATCCTCACTCTTGACAACTTGCCTGCTCTGCCAGCCGTCATTGACAAAAGTCTTTCCGGAGTTCTTGGCTCTGTTTACGGTCTTCGTATGTCTGCTCCCTAGCACAACTCTCTATTACTATTCTTCAGCTACTGATGCATTCTTTTAGTGTCTGGAGTTTGCAGCACTGATTTTAAGTGCACTATCACTGTTGCAGGATCTATTCAGTCTCTACTTGTAGATGGCGACAAGTACACGATGAATAGCACTATTTCAGCGTGGTGCGAGCAGGGTCGGTGCTATGGCTCTGCTGATATCCCCCTTACCGCTACCGCTCCATTCGTCATCACTTGCGACCACTTGACTGGAGGCAACAGTGCATGCTCAGCCACTATTTCAGGAGCTGCTCAAGCTATCTTCACTAACGGCAGGCAAGTAGGTAAGTACAGTCGAGATCAATGTTTTCAAAACGCCGCTGATAGACTTTAGAACTCTGGGGATGGCTCACACCCGCCGGTTACTGCAAGGATGGTATTTGTGTTGCTTCCATTAGCGCTTTTGGTGACCCAATGTACTAAGCGAACTTCAAAGCAGAATAACTATGATTCTATGCTAGTTGTTCTAGTGCGAGATAAGTTGATAGTGTATATGTTCTCTATGCAATTCTTTCTATATTGTATCAATATATTAATTGTCTTTCAACTAATTGAATTCATTGTGCGATAGATTAAATACACAAAATATCAAGTAATGTTGTCATGGACACTAGGACCTTAAACTAAGGTCTAAATAAGCTATTGAATGTTCTATTTGGGTAAGTATTCGTAGAGACATTTCAATTTCAAGACCCTGGAATAGATGCCCGTTTGCCAGCCTATACAAGACTCTCCCGTCATGCACGAGCCAGCCGTCAAGACTTGGCGACGCATGGTATTGCATAGCCTCAATCCACGACGCCATGAGCCAAATGTGGAGCCAGCGCCGTCTGATACGAGGAACCAAGTCTTGGATGATGTTTGGCATATGTCCCGCCCAGACCCGACACTTGACATGAAGTTTCCTACACTCGCTGTTGAACCCCATTTAGCGCCACCGCTCGTCGCATCGTGCATACTGCTTGCTGCCGGGCCATAGTACACATACTCTCGTCACTTTGACATCGCATCATCGAACAGCTCCCATGTTTGGAAAAGCAGCACTTCTTGTCCTCGTGGCGGCGGCAGGTATCCAGGCCGACTTTATGGTTTACACCGAGCCTCCAATCCCCACCTCCGCGATACCCTCATTTCCAAACCCAGCAGACGTACGTACGATCCGCTACATTAATTCTACACCCCACTAATAACCATTCCAGGCTGCCAGTTGGACCACTTCCGTCTTCCTCAACGCACGACTCGCTTACGCGTCTTTCACAAGGTCCCTTGGCGAGCCCTATCAATCCTCCCTCACGTCTGCGCGATCGGAAATCGACGCCTTCGTCGCAACTGCCTCCAACTATAGCATCCCTCCTGCAGTCACCATGGCCGACGAGACACCAACATTCTTTTCCAAGCCGGACTGGTACACTGCGCTGCCGAGTCGCGCGAGGGCCTTCAAGGAGCAGCAAGTTAGCGACCAGTTCAGTATCGTACGCAATGTCATTGCGGCGCGGGTTACACCGGCAAGCTCAACGGGCGCGGCGATGCCGACAGCAGTTCCGGGACATTGGTTTGGCGCCGAGTTCGGCGTCATGGCTGCGGCGGCCGCGGCAGCATTCTTGTGAACTGGAATGGCTGGAAGGGCAATATGTCATGATTCAAAAATGATAAACGAGATAAACGGGCGTTACGGATAATTTTGGGTATGGAACGCATGTGAAGTCATGTTATAAATCGACTACTCTGGTCAGTAGAGGGTGATGTAATCATCATGCGCAAGTGAAATCAATTCAGTTTGAACAATCAACCCACACTATCTGCGGTTGGCTTTTACCCTATCTTCTCCAGGTCTTTGAGAAACGTACAAAACTTGTCTATGAAAGGCCTGGTGCCACCATCAGTAGTCAACTCATGATCAGCATCCGGCAGCACACCACTCTGATTACCCGCCAAACCCTTTGGTATCGCATTCACCCATTTCTTCAACAGCGCCTCTTTATCCACCGCTAGCGGTACCATCTCATCTTTTCCAGACATGACAATCAACGTCGGCTTATCGAGTCTACCAAATGACGACCCAATCGTAGAAGCAGGTAGATTGGAAGAAAAGAAATCATCATCTCCCCCAACAGAAACAAGCGAATGCCAGCGATATGCACTAATTGGCGACGAGAAAATCGGAGGAATAAAATACGACGGCATAATCTGCATCTTCTTACCCTTTACAATAAGATCTTCAGCATGCTGAAGACTAGTATGTAGGAACTCCGGGGACATGAGTAGACTTGCAGTCTCGCGATCCGAAGTAGGTGCTTGCATGATGTATCCGTCGACAGGAGGTGGCGCTGGAAGCGTAGTTGCGTATGTCATGATAGCCTGGCAGCCTGCTCATCCCAGTACAATCAGTACTTGTTGCCAAAGTCACCAGGAGGTAAAAGAAAATAGCATACCAGTCGAGCTCCCCATTACTACCACCTTCTCCTTCCTCACATCCTCTCCCTTTAGATACCCCACCAGCGCCGCAAGATCTTCGACGTCGTTCTTCAGACTTGAATATCCGAATCCCGTGTAACTGCTCCGCATCCGAAACTCGAATACGGAATACGAGAAGGTATCTGTTTCCGCCATGTTTTCCAGGGCACTGTCTATCTTGAGAACCAGATCTGATGTTTGCGGTCCGTCAGTGAGACCGCCAATATATACCAGCGCATTAGGTGAGTCTCTTACACCGTACTCGTATGCGCAGGAGTGCGGTGTTGGCGAGGTGAAAGGATGGACGCGGACGGTGTAGAGACTTGGCATTGTATACAGGATAGTACAAAGATGATGGCATTGAAGTAGGATTTATGAAGAATAGATATAATATTCCATAGATAGAATTGAAATTCGAATGGGTAAAGTCTCATTTGCATGTGTTTGTTAGGGTGGAGTTGTGTTGCGTATAGAGGCATGTGTGATTGGCTGCGAGGTGCAATCAGGGTAAGTAGTCCACCTTACAGTAGTGCGACTTGGTTTACGACCCATACCTTTCTAGGCAATTTCAATGACACCTAATCACATATAAGTGTGAATAAAAATATCTAAGTTGCTCGAGCTATGCTGTGAAGCCCATCAAATGTCATGGTACAGCCTTCGAAGAAAGAATACTATTGGCACATGGCTGCAATTGCAATAGGGAACTGATCCAGTGAATATGTACTTCACGAAAACACCTGGAAATTTAACGACGAGAAAAACTTATTTCTAGCCATCAAGGAGTTAATAAATGTGGGATTTGGTAAGCAGATAATACCCAACTCTCACATTTTCATGAACCATGAAATACCCAGAGCAAAGACGAACGTTCTATACATCCCCTGCTACAAGAAGTATCACAAACTTTATGCATGAATCATGCACCCCTAGATTTTCGCAAGATCAATACAACCCCATAACCTTAATCCAAGACTTCAAGATCACCAAAATCAATTCACAGCCTACCAAAACACACGCAAATATCCCAAACCCTCATTTCCCACCGTCCCAGCAAACCTTTCCCAAAAAGCAATCCCTACTCCCTCCATATCCCACTACACACCTCATAATCCCCCTTGAACCCGTTACCAACCTCCAAACCCTCCACCACCCAACCTACCCCTCTCTCCTCCAATCAAACCCACCACACCCACACTTCACCCCTGCCCCCTCCAACTCGGCAAACATGACGTCAGCGGCCCCAATCCCACTTTACCACCACAACATACATCACGAAATAATCCCTACTCCCTGCTCTCCTCCCCCCCCCCCCTCTCCCAAACAAACCCCTCTCTACCAAGAAAGAAGAAAAGGAGAGGAGAAAGAGAAGAAAAAAAAGGAAAAATGGGCATACCCTACTCCCGCCAAATCAACGCCGCCTTCGAACAAGTCACCCCCCTCGTCGCCGCCGGCTTCACCGTCCTCCGCACCACACGCGACATATCCATCTTACTCGCCATCATCCAAGTGCTAACCGTGCTGCTACTAGCGCTGATACTAGGCGTGCTAGTTTTGATTGTATATTGTGTGAATCCGGATTTGGAGGTAAAAAAAAAACATCTTTTCACTTCCCTCTCTCTCTCTCTCTCTCTCTCTCTCTTTTTGTGTGTGTGTGTGTGTTTGCAAACATAAACGGAGAGGAAAAAGAGGCCCAGACAGCAAAGGCAAAGAAGGAATGGGGCTAACGCGATTGGGGTAAAATAGGAAGAACGACAACGCATCATAACGCCGTGGTTGCGCTACGTGGCGCGGATTAGTATTTGGGGGGTTGCGAAATTCGTGGTTGGGATTGCGGTCATGGGGAGTGTAGCGAGTGCGGCGGTGTGGAAGGGGATTGTGGCGAAGCAGTGGGTGGAGGATGTCGAGTATGAAGGGAATGTACGGGCGGAGATGGCGTTGGAGGAGTTGGGTGAGGAGAGGGGAGGGGAAGATGATGCGGGGAAGGGCAAGGGGAAGAAGAAAATGTGAAGCGTGGTCAGCCTCTTTTGTGTGGTATTCTCGGAGGAGATTGAATTTTTTTTTTTTTAAAAAAAAAGAAAGAAAGAAAGAAAGAGAGAGAGAGAATTTGTATCAACTTGATAACTACATAACATGATTGTTACAAAATCCTCTTCGGTGCAGTGTACCCACCCTTATCAAGCAACAGTAACGCAAACATACCACCCATGACTGGTCTTGCCTTGAAATCGATGCCCGGAGGGGACGTGCCATCATTCGTCTGATACAAATCCGTAAACGGCTTACTCGTGGGTGTCTGGTTAACCCACGTCGCCAAATCATGTAAAAACATGTCTCGAGTTTCGTCACTCGCAATGGCGGCGCAAAAGACTTCCCAGTCGGATTTGGTGTAGTATCTGTTCCGAGTGTCGAGAGGAACACCGTATTTTTCCTTCACAGTAGGGTAAAATGCGGATTGAATATCGTAGACTTGTTGAGGGACAAGGTCAAGTTTGAGCAGGCGGTCGTTGTAGAGGTTGTAAAGTAGGCCGTGGGTGCTGGCATTTCCGTAGTTGAGAATGGCGTGAGGGGGGCTGGTGGCGTTGTTGATACCGAGTTGTTGCCACTGAGAAATGTAGTTGTGCGCAATGGACGTGTAGTTTTGGGCGTCGGCGGTTTCGTTGATCAGGCCCGACATGCGCGACATGGCTTCGATGCCGATGATGCCCTTGAGTGCGAGATTAGTTTGATTCACGAGGTGACCGGCGAAATCATCTGTAGATAGTTGCTCTGCAGGGTAGAGACTGTCTTCGACAAGATATTCGGTCCATTGCTTGAGGATCTTGTAGTGTTGCCGGATGTAGTCAGTGTTTCCGGATAAGTGAACATATTCTAGAACCATGACCATGTGATTTCCGCATTCCTCTAGCGGCATAGGCTCATCTTGACCATCTGGATGACCCGTCGCATTCGGGTAGTGAGTACCCAGATCGTGGATTGCCCACTTGTTTGGATAGTGTCCGCTCTCTTGGTTTTCGAAATGGGGATCGAGCATCAGCTTCATCAACTCAGGATTGGTGTAGTAGAAGATGGGTGAGGCGGGGTAAATGACATCCACAGTCTGCGTGTTGCCGTTTGATGAGATTTCCTTTAAAAACAGGTAATGCTTCTCCTCGGTTCCGACGAGTTGAGTCGCGCCGAATGCCTGGCGGGCTGCCAGAGTTGTCAAAATGGCGTAATCGTCCCCTCCAGCTGCCTTTGAATCGCTTGAGATTTGATTGTCAAGCTCAGTAGAGAGTTTAGTTGATTCAGAATAATCGTTGTAGAAGAATGAAAATGCAGAGAGATCGTCTGAAAAATAGCTCTTCCATAATGAAGGTAGCGTCGTCAGTCCTCCAGCGCCCAGAAACTGGATGGCATCGTCTTGACACACACCGATGGTGAACAATTGGCTTTTCGCTTCCGAGCCTACTTTCTGCAGATCTAGAGAGTACGCAAAAACCGGCCATTGGTCGTTGATTGCTCGGAAATTGCCATCTTGTGAGTTGTCGAGCTTGCTGTTGTTGTTGAAAGTTTCGCGGACTTTGACATCAGCACCAGACATGTACGTCAACCCCTCTACTGATTTAGTCCCGTAGTACTGACGATGTCAGACTCTAGCTTTACCACAACAAGTAAATGACCGCACTCACCCAATTTCCCCATTCTGCTCTATCGCTGACTTCGCTAAAAGTCTGTTGGTTCTGCTTCCATACCTTGTGGTAGTGTATGCCGTCTGATGTGGTGCCAAAATCCCACTCAGCCATGGCACCAATGTCACCAGACGTCCATTCTGTCCGATTGTTAGCCACTTATTTACATCCCTCAGAAGAAATCTCTACCTACCAGCACTAATATCAGTGTAGATTTGAACACTGTGCTCTGAGCCATCTAGCGCCGAGACTTGGACTTCTATATAAGAGAAGAGGAGTGATTGGCGCTTAAAGTCGGTTGGAGTAAGAGGTGACAGAAACGTGACCTTGAGTTGGACTTTGTTGTCGGCATTGAAGGTAAAGATACTTTTCGTTGACGTGTACTCAAAGGAGGTTTGGTTGGCCAAATCCTTGAAGCCGCTGGGTGCGCCCATCCAAAGAAGAGTTTTTCCATCAACCTTGATCATACCCACCCAACCTAGCCACTGGCCGCTGTAGACAGTTAGTCTGGATGTTCAAAAGGGGGGGGTTTTTTTTTTTTGAGGAACAACGGACGTCCAGAACGATGGCCACTGGCCTGGTAGGTACCCGCCATTTCCACCGCTGCTTCCTGCAGGCAACCATGTACTTAGGTAAGGACTTTTGACAGCTAATGGTAACGACGGAGGACGCGCCGGAGTAAAGGTCGAGCTGGATTGGGTGACAGCTGTTCGAAGCAGGCTACAGAGCCCGGCTAGCAAAAGAAGACGCATAATAAGCACTACGTAGGCGCTGTCGCCAAGTGAATATACGAAAATTTGGGAGAGGCCATGGCCGCTAGATGTTATATACACGGATTTGATCCGCCCTTGTCTGGGATCACATTGTGTCCACTGCAGCTAGCCATGGGGGAGGTAACAAGCATACGAGTATGAATAGAAGGCGCCATGGTTAAACCCGAAAGCTTCATGGGCTAGATGATGCGCACTAGTCTCAGGCGGGCAAGTGAGCAATCTCCTTGTGGCCATGGATCACAGCGAGCCAATTTCATATGGGCATAAACGGCACTTGATCTCGCTGATGCGAATCCACGTGGGGACAGGTCTGTATCACTTTGCGTTGTCAGTTGTACATGGGCAGAACATGTCTCAACGGTGCGACGAGCGTGGGGAAAATTGACCACAACGAAAATTAAGCCGGTACCAAAGAAAAGATGAGTAGAGAGAAGGCTAAGATCAGCAGTACAGCAAGTCCAGCCCGTTCTTAGTGGCACACCTGACCCGATTCCAAAGATTGTGTTTCGACCTGCCAGTCTAGATGAAGAGCACGAGGCTCTGCAGTACAGCAGCGCTTCATTTACTGGAGATGATGAAGAATGACTTGGTCGAGGGTGATCATGCGCCTTGGTGCTAGCCCCTTGCTGTGAGATCAAGGGATTGCATGGGCAGGCCAGGGGTTTGTCCGAGTGATCTTGGCGAACGATGGTTTGCTTCGTGTAGGAGTGGATTCAGCGCCAGCAGACTTGACGATGCCTCGTGACTCTACCTTGGCTGGTGTTGAGGAGTGACGCAGTACAGATGGCTAGCGGCAAACGGCGCACACGCACACACACACACACACACACACAGAATAGGGCGGGGTTGCCAGGCGCTGTTTAACGTTGGTATTGGCACGAGGGTTGGCGTAGGCGTTGGCGCTGGTGCTGTTGGCAGCTTGGTCGTACGCACTAAGTAAGCAAGTGCTAGCAGGTGCATGATGCGGGGAAGGCTTGCATACACCCTGCCGTACTTTACCTCCATCAGGAAAGTGCCATCGGCTCACCTGCAGCTTTACAGTCACTCGAGCATGCAAGCACATTGGACCAGAATCAAGCTGTGTAGGCCCAAAGCCAGGGCTGTCAAGAGATGGCTGTCGGTAGCATTGCCATGTTACGACCAGAGAGCATGTGTGTTCCAACGGCTTTATGGGCCTTTGTCATTAGAGTCAAGCAGTATTCATTCTACAGCTAGTACTATCAATTTGATTGACTTCCTCATACATACAACAGTCGGCGAATATGAGAGCCTATGATGCGTCTTTCAGACTGCAACACGTTGAACCAAGGTAGTCACTGCTACCACAGCGCCAAGTAAAGCACAATGCATCATGAGATCCTTCCCATCCATAGACGCGACCCTTCCAACCATTGCTAAGCCAACGCCAGAAACAACCATAATCGTAAGTGAAATGACGGAAGTAGGGTATCCAAAAGCCAATCCATGTGGCTAAAGCGAACAATATCGGGTCATGGGCGACGACCTCGGACTGGGAAATTAGTGTGAACAAGAAAGAAAACAAAAGGAAAACAAAAGTGATGACAATAGGGTATTCCAGTGCATGATGTAGCCCAACCCACGCAACACCAAACATAATTTTACACAATCAGAACCCACCGTATCACGACTGGGCAACCCATGGACGAGGAACGTTCTCGAAGCGCTCTGCACAGCCGCGAAGCCAAGCACAGTCCAACACATGGTTGACATTCCAGCGCCTCTCGCAGTCCACATCAAGACAACCCCGCACCAGGGCCAGCGCGTCCTCGATACCGCCATCCTGAGCGGCTTCCGAGTTGCGAATGGCCTCTTCATCCCATTGGCAGCTTTGAATCTTCTCCATGGTCTTGATGTCAAGACCGTCGTTGAAGGGCAGAGTGGCGGTGAGCAGAGCGTACACTACTACGCCAAATGCCCACATGTCGGCCGCGGGAGAAAACACGGGCCCAGGTGTGTTGAAGAGCTCGGGGGCGGCATACTGTAGGCTGCCAGCAATCGACGTGCTAGTCTCGGATCCATCAAGAGGTTGCGGCTCGGGTCCATCACGCTGGTCACTGATGATGAAGTCGGCCATGCCAAAATCGCACAACAGGACATCGCCGCCCTCGCTGTCCGCATTGGGCACAGTCATGTCGAGAAGACAGTTTTCGAGCTTGATGTCGCGATGCACGACCTGGACGTCATTGTGCAGATAACGCATGGCCGATGCCAGTTGGTAGGCATAGCGCTTGACCAAGTGTGCTGGCAGCCCGTTTGCCTTCTTCTTGCGCGTCTCTCGAATCAAATCAAACAGTGTCCCGCCCCTGTTCAGCTTGGTGATGCAGAATGTAGCATAGTCGGTCGTGTACACTCGCAGCAGAGGAATGATGTAGGGGTGCCGTAGAAAACGCCAAATCTCCACCTCGTGGTCAAACTGTGTCTGAATCTGCTCATTCTCCAACTCAGACTTGTTTTGCTGCGTCTTGTGCACAATTTTAACCGCGTCAACGACGGGCTTACCATTTTCCATGCTCGTAACCTCCTTGACAACGCTAAAGCCGCCGTAGCCAATCTGCTTTCCGATAATGTACTCGCTGTCGTAGCCAATGCCCTGGCCCTCGTCATCCGGTTGGGGTGGTTTGATGGGTGCCTCGGAAGCCTTGTAACGCGCAAGGAAAGAAGCAGCCGGTGACATGGATGACAGCGAGCGGCCCGAGCGGGTAGATGATCGCCGACTAGCACGCCTGATGCTTCCATCCTCGCCAATCTCGGACCGGAAGCTCTTGTTTCGAGGAAAGCCAATGCGTCGTGGGGAAGGCGAGAAGAGCGGGAACTCCAAGGGCGAGGTGGCCTGCATTGGCGAAAGCACGTAGTCGGACGGTGTCTCGAGCGGCGTCTGTGCTTCGTCCAGTGGTGGTGAGGCCGTAGCATCAGACGTCAGCGAAGCAACCTGGTCGGGGTACTCGTTGTCTCGTGCCAGCCCGTCAATGGGGGCCTGGGCGAGGGGGAATCGAGAGCCGCCGACGCGGTACTGCATGCTCCTGCGTGCGGCATAAGGTAGCTCGAGATAGTCCTGCTCGTCAGAGTAGCTTCCGTTTTCAGGGTGGCGCGACTGCGACTGCGACTGCGACTGGCGTGCACTCTTGGGGACNGGCACGCCCAGGCCGACGCCTTCGCCCGAGTCAAGGCGGACCTCGTCATTGAAGCTGATGCTCGTCTTGCGCTGCCGAAACCGGGCCAGGTAGTCATCGTCGCTGCCGCTGCTGCTGCTGCCTACGGCAAGGGAGCCGACATGGCCGAAGTCGCCCTGCTGGTTCGAGGGGTAGGCGCCATGGGGGGAAGAAGTTGAGTCTTGAGCAGCCTCAAACTCGGCAGTCAGCTGCGATGGGCCATGGCCTTGGTGGGGCGAGTCTTTGCGGGAGAGGGGCGCGAAAGAGGCAAAGGTCGAGGCGACGGGCTTGCGCGGCGTCGAGGTGTCGAGTCTGAGCTTCTGGAAAGAGTGTGAGGGGTCTGAAGTCGGGGCCATTAAACCGGTTGTACAGTGAATGCAAACCTCTGTGAGCGCCGGCGGCAGCGGCGGCGGGCGGTCGTAGTATTAATGTGCGTCGTGGTCGTGGGGCTGAGGCGAGGAAGGGAAAAGGGAAGGTTTGCGGCAGCCAAGGGCAAAACCGGGAAGGGGAGGTAATAGGATTATGTCGTGGTGGGCGGGAGGCAGCGAGGTGGTGCTAGCGGAACGGTAAAATTACGGTCGCGCCCGGGCTGCGATGTGCCTGCGTAGGAATGGCTTGGGGGTGGCAATGTCAACGCTACCGCGCAACGAGCATGGAGATGGGCCGAGGGCAGGAGGTGAGCAATCAATTAAAAGGGGACGGGTGCTGGGCGAAGGGCGTGCACGAGGGCAGTGGAGGAGAGAGAGAGTGTGCCGCAGCTCTTTGTCCTTTTTTTGTTTCTTTCTTTGTGTTTCTTTTTTGCGCAAGCCTGGCTGTGAGGGCGGCGCAGTTTTTGTGGTCGGCCCATCCCCCACGCATGTTGTTAATAGGCGGCAGTCAGCAGCGGCGCAGGCAAGTGTGTGGGTGGTGGGATGCAGGCCGAGGGAGCACGTGAGCAGCCTCGCAGCCATGCACGCAGCACTGGCAGCGGGCCTATGGGAGGGCGAGGGCGGCGCCGGAGCGAAGATTTGCGCGGCCTCTAGCGACGCCTAGTCGGCCGTTGTTGAGCTCTGTGGGCGAGAGACTGGCGTGGTTGGTGGCAGCAGCGACATAGCCTTTGGCCGCTCGCACAGTGGCCTACCCCGCCCGGAGGCAGCATTTGGGCTGCGCTGCCGGGGCCACGGCGGTAGTGCAAGTATCTAATAAGTAGTATGTAAAGCACCGCGGGTGCGGGCCATGTCCAAGTGCTGCTCTTCCATACACAAACGCTGCTGCTGCTGCTGCTGCTGCTGTTGCTGTGTGTGGTGCTGGCGCCGTCGACGGCCAGCCAGGCAGACAGGGTGGGCCTTTCGGGAAAAAGAGGGCTGGCGGTGCATGGCCCAGCGGCGGCCCGCAGGACACTGGGCACAAGCAGGACGGGCAGCGTGGGCTTGCTTGATGCTGCGCTGCTCGAGGCACTGCTGGTGGGAGCTGGCCAGGGACGCATGGCGAGGGCTGGACGGCGACAAGTTATCGTGAGCGCAGCCCCGGCGTCTCTGCTGGCCTGGCGAACACGTCAAGCGGCCGGGGCAGCGACATGACGTCGGCCGCTGTGCTGGACGCCGCGCCCGGTGGCTCACCGCAACAACAGCAGCAGCTAGGCCGTTTGCATGCCGCCCCAGGCCCGTTTGGTGGACGAGTGGGCGTGCTGCTGCCGTTGATGCTGTCTGGCGTGCATTGCGCCTGTCTAATCTCGCCTGCCTCGATGCCTCTGCGCGACCCTTGCTCCCTCGCTGGCGCTGGCTGCTGCATGCCCGGGCGACGCTTCCGCCACTAGCACCACCAGCTCAACTCCCGCCAAGCAAGGGCGTGCGCGCATCCAACCTCGACACGCCCGCTGGGTGACAACACCACCAGAGCTCGTCGACCCCATCGCACCCGCCCCCGACCCAGACTCCGCCATCGCCGCCATCGCCGCCATCACCACCACGCCCGCCCTCTGCCCTGCGCGACTGGTCCCGCAAACACTCGACGTCTCCCTCCCGCCCCATCACCACTACACGCCTCCGCCCGCCCGGACTGCGAGCGCCAGCGCCTGTAGCCATGGGCATCTCCGACCTCTGCTACCGCTTCTTCTGCTGCGGCGGTCAGTATTCCCGCAGCCGCACGCCCTGCCTGAGCCTTGCTAACTGACCGTCGCCCTCTGCAGCCCGCTCGCGGGACAGCATATACGATCCCGTGCTCGCAGACAGCGAGAGGGAAGCTGTTGCCGACCTGCTTGGCTTCCTCGAAAACGTACGCCCGCCCGCCCTCGGCACCACCACTGCACCCTGACTAACCTGCTCACAGCGAGCCGAGACCGACTTCTTCTCGGGCGAACCCCTCCGCGCGCTCAGCACGCTCGTCTACTCGGACAACATTGATTTGCAGCGGTCGGCAAGCTTGACTTTTGCCGAGATAACAGAGCGAGGTACTTGGCCCAGCCTCACCACCATCATTGACCAGCCTAACCGCCCTTGACACAGATGTACGAGAAGTCGACCGCGACACCCTCGAGCCCATCTTGTTCTTGCTGCAGAACCCAGATATCGAGGTACAGCGTGCCGCCAGTGCCGCCCTGGGCAATCTTGCCGTCAACAGTATGTACACGCCCCAGCTCCCGCAAGCTTCTTCTAACTCCTCCTGCAGCCGAGAACAAGGTGGCCATTGTCGCTCTCGGCGGCCTGGCACCCCTGATCAAGCAGATGAACTCGCCCAACGTCGAGGTGCAGTGCAACGCCGTCGGATGCATCACCAACCTGGCTACCCACGAAGACAACAAGGCCAAGATTGCACGATCAGGCGCCCTCCAGCCCCTCACCCGCCTCGCAAAATCAAAGGACATGCGCGTCCAGAGGAATGCGACTGGTGCGCTGCTCAACATGACACACTCAGGTATGCCTGCTTTTCTGACTAGCTCCTGCTCTATGCTCACACGATACCAGACGACAACCGACAGCAGCTGGTAAACGCCGGCGCAATCCCCGTACTCGTCCAGCTGCTCTCTTCGTCCGATGTCGATGTTCAGTACTACTGCACCACCGCCCTCAGCAACATTGCCGTCGACTCGAGTAACCGCGCCAAGTTGGCACAGACTGAAGGCAGGCTGGTTGGCTCCTTGGTCCACCTCATGGAGTCTTCGTCGCCCAAAGTCCAGTGCCAGGCCGCCCTCGCCCTTCGCAACCTTGCTTCTGATGAGCGTTACCAGCTGGAGATTGTGCGTGCTCGTGGTCTGCCGTCTCTTCTCCGTCTCCTCCAATCCTCATACCTCCCGCTTATCCTATCCGCCGTCGCATGCATACGAAACATCTCCATCCACCCCGCCAATGAGTCACCTATTATTGAAGCCGGTTTCCTCAAGCCCCTCGTAGACCTACTTGGCTCCACCGACAACGACGAGATTCAATGCCACGCCATATCCACACTCCGCAACCTCGCTGCCAGCTCTGACAAGAACAAGCAATTGGTCCTCGAGGCTGGAGCGGTGCAAAAGTGCAAGTCCCTTGTACTGAACGTGCGACTTCCAGTGCAGTCAGAAATGACTGCAGC